CCAAGATCACAAGAGAGGATCAGATCAGCCCACTTCTTCTCATTCTTCCCATCACAGCATCAAGCTTTTTTTAAAAAAATCAGTTCAATGTCCTGCTTTCAACCACCCTTGCAAGCAACGTTTCATTAAGTAGCCATTAGGTTGCTGAGAAGAAATGTAAATTTAAGTGGCAACCTTCTGGTGCAATGTATAGCTGCGTTATTCTAATATTTAAGTTCCAGTGACCTGTTTTGAGGTGGGATTCCTAGCAGGGTTACAGCTCTCTGTTTTAGCACTTGGCGTCATTTAGAACCTGACAGTCTTGTTACATTTCTCAATGCTGGCACGACACACCTTAATGAGCACAAGCAAAATTGCATATGCCTGACCTTTTCCTATGGAGCATGTTTGCATTATGTGTCAAGCACAACTACAGTCTATTAAAATCTTGTAACAAATGAAGTTCTTGTGAGCTACTTCTTCCACTTTTCTCTATTGTGATATACATCGGTGATGCTTACCTGATGATTTTTTTGGAACACCAATGTATGAATTATTCAGTGCAAACTAAGAATGTTGTAATATCCTACAAATGCTTTCCATGTTGAGGAGCAAACACTATCCAAGAGAAGAATGGAAAATAAACAATTTCTATTCTGGACAAGAGAAGTGTATTATGCATTTATTTACTTTATTATTTTATTTGCAAAATCTATATCTGCGTCTTTTTATACATTTTTGAATGGCTATAGGTAACTTGGGTCTTTCAGGGTGTGCACTGCAAATTATGTTTGTGGGTAAAATAGTAGTAGTAAAGAACAAACAATAAATAAAACAGACACAGACATAAAACTAAAAATAATCCTTGCATTTGATACAGAGCCTTTAAAATCAGGAGGACATCTCAATGCACTTCACAGGGTGTTCTGTGATGTGCAGTGACTGTGTATTTTGTAGGCAAATGCAGAAACCAATTTGCACAAAGGACAAACATGGCAGCCAAGGTTGCTTCTGCCTGTTCAGTTCGGTCCCTTTAGAAAGAATTTAAGGAGCTGGGAGATACACTGGGGAGCAGGACCTCAAAGGCAGTAAACTCAGGATTGCAACATGTGCTACACATTAATCAGCAAAAGGAACAGCCACAAAAGGGCATGACTAGCAGCCTGGTACAAGGCAAACCACAGGCCACTCAGTCTCACATTGGTTGTAGGAAAAGTGTTGGCATTCATTTTTAAAAAAAAAACATTGATAAGCATCTGGAAAATAAAAGGAACATCCTGTATATCAACATATCCTCCCAAACAAAATGGATGTTATTTGGCGAGATTAATGGGCAGTCTAGCCTTACTCACCTATTTTCTTTCTCCCCCTGCTTCCCATCTCTGTATTGCAGCTACCCAAATCTAATAATAATAAAAAATAACAATGCTTCCATTTGGTACAGCAACTTGCATGTCAGGAGGATGTCTTAAAGCATTTTACAGGATATAATAATAAAAATAGCAAATAACCTCCCCCACCAATTGTGAAACTCTCCAAACTGTCTCAATTACTGATCAAACCACTAATCTTCAATGCAACATAAAGCTTGGTGGAAGTTAAAATAATAAAATGCTGTATTACTGCTCTACTGGGAAACAGGCATTTTATGATCTTCAGTTACGTTATGCAATTTACCAAACATCCGCTAGTGAGAGGGTAATAAACTTGGCACATCCTGGTTAAGAGGTGCTAATTAATAACTTGTCGATGAAAACATTAACATTCCAGCCATCACAGAAACCTGGGTCACTCCAGGCAACAACTTCCCCCTGACTGAGGCCACACTACCCAACTACACTTTCCATCATACCCCACAATAATAAAAATAGTAATAATCCTTGCATTTGATATAGCGCTTTTCACGTCTTCTAGACGCTTCAAAGCACTTCACAGAATATACTGTGGGTAAAATTGTAGTAAAATAACGCAGCAGCCAATTGCGCACAGCAGTGTCCCACAAACAGTCATGGATTGAAAATGATTAATTTAGTTTTGTTTTGGAGGGATTATTATCAGGCGTGTGGAGTAAAGAAACCTGCCCAAAGTTTTGCCCTGCCGGAAATCGAACCCAGGTCTCTTGCTTGCAAGGCAAGTGCACTAATCACTGAGCTACAGGACACCATATACTGTAAAGTACAGTGACCATGTGTTTTGAGGACAAACATGGCAGCCAATTTGCACACAGAAATGTTCAAGAAACAGCCATGAAGTCCTTGACCAATTTTATTTGGGGAATTGGAGGAGAAACTCCCTTTTTTTGAATAGTGCAATGGGATTTTTTGAACAGGCAGCGGGGCTTTGGTTTAATGTGTAAGGTTTTGTGGAGAGGGTGTTTAGTCCTCAACCCATTCCAATTGTTCACCCTGAGGTATGGTATTTGAATAGAGACAAAATATAGTAAAGTAGATATTATTTATTGATAACCAAAACGACGGTTACAACGGTTACAGGTTTAACACAAAACTGCGGAAGATGATTCAGGGCTTGGTTCAATCAAGATTCTTATCTTGGGAGACCTGGAGTGACTACTCATTGATGTTGCTTGTACAAAAACAACAGCAGCAGGGTTGGAATGAGGGAAGGCAGAGTGGAAAGGAGGGCGGCTGAAGGCACGGTCAAAAAGGATGGTCTTGAGTCGTGCCTTGAAGGAGGCAAGAGAGGGAGCAAGGTGACTGGATTATGAAATGGAGTTCCAAAGAGTGGGGGCAGAGAGGCTGAAAGCCCGGCTGCCAATGATAGGGCAGGTCAGGCAGGAGACATGGAGCAGGCCAGAGCCTGCTGAGCAGAGGGAGCAGACAGGTTGATAGGGGGTCAGCAGGTCAGAGAGGTAGGAAGGAGCAAGTCCATGGAGGGCCTTGAAAGTGAGGACGAGGATTTTTAATTCTATTCTCTGAAGAATGGGGAGTCAGTGGAGCCGGGCGAGGGTACGGGGTAATGGGGTCACAGACCCTGGTGCGGGAGAGGACACAAGCTGCAGAGTTCTGGATGATCTGCAACTTGTGGAGGGAAGAGTTGGGGAAGCCAACAAGGAGTGAGTTCAGTAGTCGAGCCTTGAGGTGACGAATGCGTGTATGAGGGTTTTAGCAGCCTGAGGGGTGAGGCAGTGGTGGACTCAGGCAATGTTGCAGAGGTGGGGCAAGGTAGAGCGGGTCATGGCACGGATATGGGGGACAAAGGACACCCAGGTTCCTAACTGGCTTGGTGAGGTGGAGTGTGCAACCATGAATGCTGATGCTGCCAATGCCTGAGGTGCTGAGGCACTGGCGCGAGCCAATTAGCAGGGCCTCAGTCTTGCTGACATTCGGCTGGAGAAAGTTAGCTCTCATCCAGGACTTGATATCAGACAGAGAGTCTGTCAGGACATGTTGTCCTGGAATCGAGGGTGGAGGTAGAGAGATAGAGTTGGGTGTCATCCACATACATGTGGAAGTTGCCCCCATGTCTGCGGATGATGTCACCAAGGGGGAGCATGTAGAGGTTGAAGAGGAGGGGACTGAGGACAGAGCCCTGAGGAACACCATACAAGACTGTGCACGGGCTGGAAGAATAAACATTGGTGGAGACAAATTGGAGATGGTGTGAGATAAGACCTGAACCATTCAAGAACAGAACGTTAAGTGTAGTCCTTAGCTTAGACAGGTTGCTCCTCTGCCACAGTCACCAGCTCTCTCCTGCCCTTGCTCACTCAAGCTTTTGTAACCCCTTTTTCTTCCCATCCTCCACTGAATATTTGCGAGTCTTTTATTGAACATATAAAGACTTGAAGTGGATTTGAAGTGTGTTCTGCGTCCAGTTTCAGTCTATTCATTGTGTTTGAACCAGTTAACACCTTACCTTTTGTTATGCCAAGTTGGTGTTCGACATCGCCTTTTCCTTGCAAGTTGGTGAATGCAGATCCTGAGGTCATTCGACTCGATGGTTTTTATCTTGATGGTGTTCCATTTTGCAGCTTTGGCAGCTTACAAAGGTCGGCACCTCCAACCAACAGTGCAGCACACTCACACACTTTTACTGAAGTATTATCTTAAACTAAATGAATTCCGAGTCGCGATATGCAGCTTAAACCCATAACCTTCCGATTCATGAGAATGCTACCAACTGAGCTGGCCTGACACAAATCTTCTTCTCCTCAGATCAAATGCAATCCGACAATCATTGATTTGGTCAGCTGGCACAGGGTTTTTCCATTCAATCAGAAATAATCTAAATGCCATGACTCATGCATAAACCATGACCCATTCAAAACCTATTTGAAAATCAAGTCTTTAAAATAACATCTTAGGATCAACTGCTATAGCAGAAACAATTCTGTTTCATAGTCTTTATATGTGACTTCTTTATATGACTTCATAGTGGTAGTCTTTAATGTTGACTTTTAATTTGAAACCTAGGCCTTGCAGTTCTGTTTCCATGCTACAAGTCAGATTTTGTAGCTCTACAGCTACAGGATCTGTGTACACTCAGCATTTTAAAGTCATAGATATGTCCCCATCCCTTAAAATTGCTTCCATTTGAGAGGAGGACCTATTACAACTTAGAAACTAAATATGGTATCTGGGTGATATAGCTTTATCTGGGTTAGTAGTTTGCTGAAGCTAAAAAGTTATCGCCAAGGAGGACTATTTATATTTTAAAAAGTCAAAGTTCATTGAGGAAATAATCTCATTGATCTGACAGCAACCTAGGGTTAATTTGACAAAGCGAAATAGAGCTCTGAAATGGAAGAACGATGAAAGAGTAAAGTCTATCTGGATAGACTAAATATTCCAGATTTAATAACCCAGCATTCAAGAAGTAACATCAAGGTGAACTGTAATACGAGAATGACGGGCAAGAAAATTGAATGGAAATGTTTACAGCAGAGAAGTGACGAAAAACCTCCAAGTGAAAGATGTGCATTGTGCATTTGCCAAACAGAACAATGAGGACCTTGTTCTCACACAAACTAACCCACACATGTGGGCAGAAACAGCACTGGAAACAGTCCAATAATTTATTAAAATATAATTATAGTACATTGTAAATGTCTGAAAAAGTTAAGCTTGGAAACATCTCACATTTCCATAAGTACTGCAGGCATTACATGTCACTCGTACACCATCACCAGCAGTCAGAATCATTGATTAGGTTGGCTCACATCAAATTAATCATTTCATAAAAAGTCCGTTGTAGCAAGTTCGCTTGAGATATAGTAAAGCAACCACAATATGGACACCAAATCATCTATTAACATAATTAAAGCAATTATAGGCATCAATAGCCATTGTAATAATTTGCCCCAATTCCCCACTTAAATTCAGTTTTTAAATCATCCTTGCTATGCAAGTTATTTCATCATACTCACTTCAATTACCTTGGCTCCAAAGCCTCAGTTGTAGATAAATAATACAGGCTTTGTATAAATTCCACCCAGTAGGACAAAGCTGGGAGGTTTACTATTATCATAAAAAGTTTTTTCTAAAATAATTTTCTATTTATTCCATTACATTTCTGGATAGTCCACTATGAACATACACATTTCATGAACCAAAGTATTAAATGCCACAAAAATTGAGATTATTCTTTTCACAGGCAAAACGGCAGAATATTTGGTTGAAGCATGTGCAGTCCTTTGCACATGCATGTAGTGCATGCTGGGAACAGGGAGCCTTAAGAGATTCCATAAGACTTCCTTCCCGGTTTCCTTAATGTGCAATCCCATCCTCCTGCCTAGGTGCACTTCGACAGCCCACATTCCTGCAGTGAGGCATTGAGGTGAACATTGAAAATGCAGGAATTTCAAATCTCCTTGGTGAGAATCTGGCAAATTTTACAACCTGCGGTGCTTGGCAACTGTACTAGGAACTGTACACAATGTTCTTTACAAAGGCAGAAGCCCGGAAAGATTCTAGATATAGAAAACAGGTGGAAGGGATGAATAATGTCCTTGATTGAAATAACCTTAAAAGAGAGTTGGAAACCATCCACTGCAGTTGCTTGAAGAAAGCAATAATTAATTATCAGAACTCCATTACTTATCCTTTGTGACGCGCCCTTTTAATGCCCAAAGTTTTATGCGGTTCCATAAATCAGGAACAAAATGGTGATTTATAGTTTAGAACCCAAAAAGAAAATCACCTCAAGAGTGCAATGCCAGCAATACAAATATTGTTCAAGGGATGAGAAAGGAACACAGTACTATGTCTCCAGGGAGACCGAATACCAAATAATACTTTTAGATTTACCAGATGATCGTTACTTCATGTGCATTTTTTCAATATTTAGTACTAAAATAGAGACCACTAAAATTGGCCTAGAATGTAAAGGTTGTTCAGTTTCAATGCACAAGGCTCACTCTTATTTCTATCCAGGTAATATAATAACTGTGCACATTGTATAGGGTTTTTCCAGTTTATCTTGTAATTGTCTTAGGAGTAGCTCAGAGAAATAGATGTAGGAGTGGCTAACTGAAACTAGCTGTAGGAATCCAGGCAGAGTTCTAATCAGGACCACCAATGTCCACCGTGATATTAATGTATAATGGTCTATGTTCTCGTGACTTCACATTGTAGATGCAGGAGTTCAAGCCATCTTTACTCCACACTTGTGAAACTTTTGTCAGTAATTTCATCCTGTGCCAGGACACAAAAGTAGAAACACCATGATTAATTATAAAAATTATCAATTAAACCTAACATCTGCTATGTGAATGATAAAACAATGGGGGTCTTACTTGTAGTCCACTGGATATTAATCATATCAAATGGGCCTAAAGCAAACTCTTTTCCCCCTCCTTCGAGACCATTCTGAATGGTGAAGTCCACAAAACCGAGTGTGCACCATGGACTCCCAGTTCCTGAATTGCAGCCATAACTGAATGTTAGCAGCTGATGTCTTTTTAGTAAACATTAGTGTGGAATATTTCTGGAGTGTGTACAGAGAATGGTATCTGATTGGACACCTGAATCACTACATAGGATGAGAATTTCAAAGTTAATGACAGTCAGTGGGTGAGGTTGAAAGAGCTAAGGCAATGGCCATGCAAATTGCACCTCACACTAGAAAGAGCAGTATTCACACTGCCATTTTTCTGCTGAGTGCTTTTTCAACTTCAGTATGTATCTCATAGCCAAGCGACCCTATAAACACATAAATGATCACAAACACCAAGCTAACAGTTTTTTTTAATCAAAACTACCTGAATGGAATTTACATTGGAACCTACCTATCACGATTGACTTCATTTCCTTGATCCCTCTTGTGGAAAGTCATTATATATTTTGCAATCTCAAGAGATGGACGTACGATTTTCATTTTTTGTATCTCGACTCTGAGGAAAATATAGATTAAATTATTTTTTCTCATTGTGACACCATTCTTTCACCCTGAATGACTCACAATGGCAATTTTTATAAATTAATTTTTTCTCATTCCTCACTGTTAATACTATGCTAGGAATAAGTGCAATGCACCTAACATTACTTATGAAGATACTTCCTAGGGACAAACCGGGGAGAAACTCCCTATGCACAGCCGTAATGGTCACAAGTCAATTTTAAGATAATGAACTGGGAGTATTTCTTTACACAGAAGGTAATTAACAGATTACTAAGAAAAGGCCAGGACACCGATTTATACATTGATGTATTGAAGGACTTTTGTCTGAGACTGGGTACACAGACATACTGGAGTTAATGATGCACATGGACACCAAACTTTCTGAGAAACGGAGTCAGAACATAGCAAGAAACCCACCAGAAAATAATTATGGACTTCTTCAACAAGCAGTAAAGATTTGTGATGGTAACACATTAAACATGAATCTCAGATTTTTTGGGGGACCTTTAGGAAGTGTCTAAATTATTTACATTTATTCGAAATATCTCCAAAAAAATGCATTTGAGTATGAGCAATCAATATTTAATTGATGGGTTCTGTATGTGCACTGTATTTCTTTATAAATTTTTACAAATTCTACACACACCAATAAACCCTTACTCAGAGGCCACCCTTATATAAAGGCCGCTATCGCCCAGTCCCCTGAGAGATTGTTGAAGAGTGGTTTGACTGTAGTTTGGTATTGGAAGATGATAGGGTGGGTGTTCTGAAAAGCCTGCTAAATATACATGCACATACTACTATTTGAAGATATTCATCCATCTTACTTCAAAATCCAGTGAACAGGTGACATCCAAAGAGTTAACAATGAGATACTCTGCCGAGCAGAATTTTAAATATTCAATCAAAATAAATTTCAATTTACACCATCCTCCCGTACACCAAAAGATTTCAATCCCCAGCTCGGGTGCCCAGCCAACAGTGTCAAGCGCTTTGATATATCCTCCCAACATGAAAGTCGCTATAGGAATGCAAATTGTATATTGTGTAGCATTTCCTATAACAAATGAATTCTAAAATCCAGAAATAAATTATGCACAAATTCTGCCCATCCTAAAAGAACTGCAATAAATTTGTTAGGCCTGATCTGCAAAATCACATTTGGACTTCAAATTATTGGCGTGCTTATTATCTTCTCTCAGAACTATTCAACAAAGGAGTTTTTTCCCCCAATATAAACCAGAGATGCATTCTTTTAAATGCTACTATTCAGTACATTCTCACTTATCTACATGTGTGGAAATATATTGGGCAATCTCTGGCCAAATTTTCTTTTGGCATTTTTATGGAGAATATAAAGAATCTATCCACTGCTACTCACTCAGTATTCCATCTCACCAACTGCATTACCTCTATTTATTTGGGTCAGTCTGACACATGTAGAAACCCATCCCATGCTTTAGCGTATCCAAACCTAGATGAGATTTCCACGCATCTCACCTATACATAGAAATCCCAGACATAGATCGTTGGAATGAAATGCACACTCTCCCCCTGGAGGGACACATCCTGTTTACCTAATTCCGGAAGGTATCAGGTGCAGGTTGGCAAGAGCTAAGAATTGGGGACCCAGATTGTGCGGTAGCATACTCCTGGAGTCTAACCAGCTAAAACCACGTAGGTTGTCATTGATATTGTTGTCCAACAAGCTTTCCCGCTGCTTCTCCAGCTAGGATCACCCTACATGTTAGGGCTTTGGCTTGCCAGATTAACAGAAGATGAGTGGGATGACTACTTGCCCCCAGTGACTAGTCTGTCCTTCCAGGACGTGCCGATGAGCCAGGCTGGCTGTGCTGTCATCAGCAGTGCCCTGGAATACTGCGGACCCGCTTGGTTCAGAAACTGGACTACCGAGACCGCCATGGAGGGCTGGCTTGATTCTGACATTCCATCGCTAGGATTGTCACCTTGCAACCAATTCAGCTCCAAGGAGATCCTACTTACCCTCCCCACAGGAGGAGAGTCACAAGTTGTTTGTTTGACATCCGACAAAAGCGGGCTTGTGTCCTCACTACAACAACTTGCAATAGCGCCCTCCATTCAGGGTAGCGTCCCAGAGCGCTTAACAATGGCACAGCCTGACTCTGAGCCGGGGGGGTGGGGCGGTGGCCGTAAACATGGTCGAAGAGGAAGATTTTCAGGCGGGACTTGAAAAAGTGGAAAGAGGGGGCAAGCTGAAGGGATTGAGGGTGTGTTCCAGAATTTCAGAGCCATAGTGACCAAAGGTGCCACTAAGCGGGATTACTAGGTGGATGGGAGATACAAGCTTTATCTCCTGTGATTTACCTTTTGCGAAGATCATCGTCCTCTCCACCCCAGCCCCAATACTCATTCGAAAATCCATTGACCTTTTTAAACTGCTCTGTGGTCATAGCTGTTGCTCCACCGAAATAACCCTTATACCGCAACCTTCAATTTGAAAAACAATTATAAGCAATATATTGTCAAACAATATGTTCAAATTTTCTTTGTTAAAGGAACATTAAAAAAAAGATCAATTGAAACCAATTCCAGTCAGCTTTAGGGAAGATACCTTTCCCAGGTATGGATCACAAATTACTATATCAGCTGAATTTTGAAAGCAATATAATTGCTTCACGTGAAGAATGTGTAAGTTCTGTTCTAGATTCAAATCAATTCAAACAGTTACCTACCACCTCATAGTCTAAACAGTGCTTTGTCCCCAACTAGCGCAAGCAGACTTTGTTTATATACGAGCCTATACAGCAAGCATCAACACATCATTCTAATCAATGAGAGCACTGTAAGCAATCCCAGAATTCTGGGTTGTCTTAAGTTAACCAAAGAAAATCCCAGAGACTCATGGACTACTTTACTTCATAAAAGCTGAATTTATGACACAAATGTATGAAGCCCAAGGATAAATGAAAGGATAAAGAACCCCTCCCACCTCTCTGCCTTCCCTCTATAAATGTAATTTTGTTGTGTTGTAACAAAGGGTCATAAATCTAAGTAACACAACAGCACCACAGTCATTACTTTCCTTAATTGATATCCATATAATAATAATCCTTGCATTTGATATAGCACTTGTCACGTCTTCTAGACGTCTCAAAGCACTTCACAGAATAGACTGTGAAGTGAATTGACTGTATATTTGTGGGTGAAACGCGGCAGCCAATTGCACACAGCAGTGTCCCACAAACAGTTGTGGATTGAAGTGACCAATTTTATTATTTTTTTTCAAGGATTATTATCGGGAGTGTGGAGTAAGGAATCTTGCCCAAGGTTTTGCCCTGCCAGGAATCGAACCCAGGTCTCTTGCTTAAGAGGTGAGTGCTTTAACCACTGAGCTATAGGACTTCACGTTGTCATTTCCAACAAGCATTCTTGACAGATTGCCAGATGTTGCCTCCTTAGCCTTTGGCATTGAGGCAATTTGTGGCACCGTTATTGTCACCACTGATTGAACTGAACTCACTAAAGACATAAGTTTTTTAAAACTGTTACATTTTGGATCTGCACCCGTCCGATTCAAACCTGGTATTAGCCTTTTACACTGAGCCTTCAATGCAGCGTACATGCCAGTCTGCTTCTAGCCATGCACTGCGCCTCACCTGTATCCTGTAGAATTCCGCCCCACTACAAGGTGTTTAGGTTCATGGTCACAGAGATATAAATTGAAATCATTCTCTGGAACAAGGTCAACGTCATGGAAAATGAAGCAGTCCCAATTGTATTCCTTCAGTGCTTCCAGGAAGCCCACATTCAATAACTTTGCTCGATTAAATACACGATTACCAGCCTGAGGGAGCAAAATGTCAATGACATGAAAAGGCACTATTTCAAATGCAAGGATTATCATAATGACAACAAAATTACATTTATATAGCGCTTTTCATGTCAAGAGGAGGTGCCAAAGCATTAAAGATGTACAAAGAATGTACAGCACGGAAACAAGCCACTCAGCTCAACCATGCCAATATTTATACTCCTTCACCCACTCATTATTCCCTCCCATACCCTTCTATTCCCCTCTCCCTCATGTGAAGGTCTAGCTTCCTCTTTATTGCATCTGTACTATCTGATTCAACCACTGCTTCAGGCAGCGAGTTCCACAATCTCCTAGTACATCCTAAATTCTCTTTTGAATCCCCTAGCCGCTATATTGTACTTGTGTCCCCTGGTTACAGACCCCCTAACCAGTGGACACAGTCTATCTATGCTAACCTCAGTGATCTTTTTATAATTTTAAACACTTGTATTATAAAATTTACTGTATTAAAAAGTTACGTAATTACATGTTCCCCACTGGCCACCTGCATTTCCAATGCGTAGTTATTGATGTTCTTATGTTCCTTCCTCAAAATCAGAAGGAATGGGTTCAAATCCTATTTTGGGACTTTGATCTTATACAGTCTAGACTATCACTCCAATGCAGTGCTGGGGGCACTGTCACAACAACAACTTGCATTTATATAGTGCCCTTCACGCGGGGAAGCATCCCGGAGCACTTTACAGTCACCACCTTACAGTAAATTCTAAAAAGTACTTTGAGAAGTCTTCTTGACGTGAAAGTCGCTATATCAAACATAAGGATTATTATTTTTATAAGAATCAAATACCTGATTAATGACATATATTCCATAATCCAGAAGCTGCCGTTGCAGAAACGGATGCAGATGCTCCATTAAGTACAGAAGATGTTTTTCTCGGTTGCGGTATGGAATCACAATGGCAACACGTTGCAACGGTAAGCACTCCTGTGGTCTGTACTGTCCTCCCATTACATCTGGATTTTTTGCCTGAACCTGTTCCAATGTGAGTTTTTCATCAAATTTCAATAGAATTCTACCACCTAAAAGAGAAACAATGGGAGGGAAAAAATCCAGTTCAGATTTTTAGTTCTAGTTTGCCATGTCTTAATGACTTCAATAATATGTCAATAAATCAGCTTTACTTTATTCTCCCATTAAACTATAACACACCTTAAATATTTTGTGGAAAAATCAGTATGGTCACTTGTATAGTGACGTCCAGTATGGCCACTTGTTTAATCAGCTTACTAGTACCCTTAGATAAAAATACATTTAAGCCAATGTTGTTGTTAATATGCTTCACACATGATTCTTTACCACCCTATTGTATACTGCACTTTAAACATATTTGGAAGGAAAAAAATTAAGGTGTTCACAACCCTGAACACATTTCTTCCCTCTCCCCCCACTGAAATTATTGGTCAGGGTTTACTTTCTCTGTCCCATTTATTATTTTAGATACAATACATTATATTTGCATAGGGCCTTTCACATAATGAGGATGTCCCAAGGCGTTGAACAGTCAGGAATTTGGACCCAAGGAGGTGTGTTGGCATCAGGGAGGGCGGAAGGCAGGGAGGGTAGCCGAAGGCACGATCGAAGAGGAAGGTCTTGAGACATGGCTTGCAGGAGGCAAGGAAGGGAGCAAGGTGAAGGGAATGTGGGATGGAGTATCAAACGGTGGGGTAGAGAAGCTGAAGGCCCAACTGCCGATGGTAGGGTGGACCAGGCAGGGGACGTGGAGCCTGCTGAGGGGAGGGAGCGGACAGATTGATATAGGTATCTTTATAAAGATATGTCTTTTAAACTTTGTTCTCTACATTGCCTCTAGAGCCTGGGAAGTCCCTTATATTGCAGTGACCAGGACTAGATGAAGAAAGCAAGATGCAGCCTCCCCTTAGACCAGAATAGCACTTCACTACACCAGTGGGTTAGAATGAAAACTTCTCATTTAATCATGAGTGGTTCACGTATACAAGGTTCTACTTTAACTAGAAATGTACACACGTTCTGCTGAAAAGTCTTTCTCCTACCAAAGCAGACTACCGTACTCGAGTCTTTCAAAATGTTCTAAGCGGACTGCTCACAAAAACTGATACAACTGGTTTTCACTGTGATGGCACTGTTAATAACTCAGCTTGTGAAAACAGATATTTCTGTGGGACAACATGAAATACTGAAACATGAACACTGTTGTTGTGCAGTTCGTTTTCCAAAAAGCAAAAAACTCAGGAAAGTTTGGAGAACTGTTTTGTAAAGCAAATAACTCAAGTTACGAAACATTAACAGCAAACTGGTTCAAAATGAATACAAAATGTTCCAATTCAGTGTTTCTCCTTCCTATCCCTGTGACCTGCTAACACCATATCAACCTGTCCACTCAGCAGGCTCTGGCCTGCTTCAAGTCCCCCCTACCCAATAATACTTTTATATTGGTTATTGCACAATTAAGACTTCTGTTGGCATTCAAACATAGTTAATCCATGGGCATTCAGCTCAAACCTACTTTAGATCCCATTATGATCAACAATTTTCAAATATTTTCTGAACAACATGCAATAAAACAAAAGATTTCCTACTTACGTAGGTATGGTGATAGAAAGGGGCACAAACGAGCACTTGGATCTGTAGTCATTTTCAATGCATTATGTGAAATTGTCCTGACCTCCAGGTCATTAGATAGTTCTAGTACTTTCCACAACCTTTCTGTGAATCGTGTGTTAGCATGCCATACAATCGCATGGTTATTATGGGTTACTATCCAGGTAATAACAGAGGTAAAACTAACAATAAGTATCAAGAGTCTCAATTTGTGAGGAAAGTTGGAAATTAGCCAATTGAAACCCATAATAATATAGGTGCAATATCAAGTTCAAAAATATTAAAGGGACATGTGGAAGCAATGCAATGACTTTTGGCAGTAGAGCATCATGAACATTTTACAACAAGTATGTCCACACATGTCTCCTCAAGTAAGCTATATTAAATATAACATTTGATTTCTTACAGTCCAAGGATTCAACCTGCAAGACAAAACCATCAAAAGAATTAAAATGATGAGCATGTTAGCTCTCATATAACTGCCGAACAAAGCACAAACTTTACATCATCATGAACTAATTTTGGAACATGCATAATGATAATGAAATAATCCCAGCTACCTTTTTTTTAATATAGCTTCCATCATTTCTTAATCAATGCAAAATACTCCCAGAAATATTAGCTCTTCATCTCAAATTGCTTTCCCTATTACTTTTTTGAAAAAAGATTAGATGTATTCCATTAAAGGCAGAATTTATAATAATAATAATACTTGCATTTGATATAGCACCTTATCATGTCTTCGAAACGTCTCAAAGTGCTTCACAGAATATACTGTAAAGTGAATTGACTTTATATTTTGTGGGTGAAACGCAACAGACAATTGCGCACAGCAGTGTTCCACAAAAGTAGTTTTCACAGGCTAAACTCCAGTAGTACCCCAACACAAGGTCCTTGACTCTAGTAAAGGTTAACTTTCCTGCAACTATTTATCTTTTACAGCAAACATCCAAATTAAAAACTTTCCCTTCCGAATTAAAAGCTTGTCTTTCCAAATTAAAACCTTTAAAAGCACCGAACATCAGCAATGAAAACAGACTGGTATCGGTTTCTTTAATTATCTTTTGAGAATGCAGTACTGTAGATGAGATGCTAAACAATACCTTTTATTGTTAAATGATACTATACACACTCAATGTCAGCAGGTTTTCTCTTTGCTCCAGGTTAGATTCCCACCCTCTAACTTTTAGTGAACAAACAAAGTTCTATCTCATTTTAATACAGGACTGGTATAAAATTACGAATACTGTAACAACCCCAGGGAATTTATTTAAAAACAAGATCCTTCAATCAAGTGGGAGGGCATCTTTCAAAACATTTCCCGAGATTTGGTATCAGAATGGTATAATCAACGACACAAAACCAAAATTGCCACATTTTGAAGAGCGCTAACTAATAATTTCATTAGTTGGTACTTTATTTAAGAGTTAAATAATGACTCATTTCCAAATTATAACAATTTTTCAAATCACATGATCGGTACATAAAGAAGACCCCTCAGACAACTGAACTCATCCTTCCAAAATTATAAGCTCTTTCTTAAATATGCGCACCATTCACAACCACCCTTCCTTGCAGCCTGTGAGATGGCTGAAATCTGAATCCTGAAGTACATCTCTACAGAGAATGGGCTTTCAGCAACATTAAAATATACTCAAAACTGCCAGAACAGCTGAGATCATTGCAAATGGGTTGTCAAATCCATACTAATAAAACGACAATGTCTGTCTGCGTGCGCTTCAAGAAGGATCTCAATAACCAATTGACGTAGAGACATGATATTAGTTTGGAGTATCTCCTATTGTTCATGAGTTATGACCTAAAATAGATTGCAGTTTGTGTTTTTGCTGCAGTTACACCTGGTGGCCGGCAAGTCAAAGTGGCGATGTTTGGCATCATGTAGTTTACACCTGGTGGCCACGCTGGCTGACCGGGGCGCTGCGGCATCGTGCGTCACAGAGCACGCAAGTAGCCAAGCGGCGGCGGGAACAAAATAAAGAATGCAGATGAAGCTAAACCACGGCAACAACAACATTTCTACATTTATATTTATCATTATAAAGATGCCTAAGCGAACATGAAACCTTTCAAGGATAAGTAGGTGTGTCTGTCTGTGTGTCGGTCTGCATTCCATATTGGATCCTTTGGTTGCAAGTAAATAATAACGGCCTCGGTTTGTTCCTGCATCTAAGACAGTCAATGTCCGAAAGCACTGTGGCTAGCATGGTAGGAACACTATGTGGTTGTGGTCGCAATATTATCCCAAGTAAATAAGCAAATAAGTCAGAGAACTTACTTTGCAGTTCAAAACCATCTCAAGTAAATAAGTCACAGCCCACTCCACACACAAAAAAATGAATGCCCCTTTTAACACAGCTCAGTGTGGAGAACTTTACCACAAATGGGTTTCCTCTCTCATCCCCGCACCGTCTTGTGCGGCGTTCCTCAGGGCTCTGTCCTTGGTCCCCTCCTCTTCAGTATTTACATGCCCCCTCTTGGTGACATCATCCGCAGACATGGGGTCAACTTCCACATGTATGTAGATGACACCCAACTCTATCTCTCTGCCTCCACCCTTGACTCCATGACCACTGCTGTCCTGACAAAATGTCTGTCATCAAGTGCTGGAGAGCTAACTTTCTACAGTTTAACGTCTGCCTTCACCCACCCGTGCAACATCGCCCGGCTCCGCCACTGTCTCAACCACAGGCTGCCGAGACCCTCACACACGCATTCTTAACATCCGGCTTTGACTATGCAAACTCCTCGCTTATCGGCCTCCTCAACTCCTCCATCCACAGGCTGCAGATCATCCAAACTCTGCAGCCCGTGTCCTCCCATCACCAGGCTCCGTGACCCTATCACCCCCATCCTCGCCCGATTCCACTGGGTTCCCATCACACAGAGGATAATTCAAGATCCTGGCCCTCACCTTCAAAGCCGTCCATGGCTTCGTTCCCCCCTACCTCTGCGACCTCCTAACCCCCTACCATCCTGCCCACTCCCTTCGCTCAGGAGGCTCCGACCTGCTTCACGTCCCCCGCCTTGCCCACCCCACCAATGGCGGGCGGTCCTCCAGCCACTCTGCCCCCAAAGTCTGGAACTCTATCCCGCAGTCCCTCTTCCTCGTCCCCTCCCTCGCCTCCTTCAAGACCTGTCTCAAGACCCTCCTCTTCAACCGTGCCCTCCACCCTCCCCGATCCTGAGCCCCATCTTGGATCCGAAGCACTGATTGTCCAGCGCCAAAGTGAAAGACGCTATATACAAATGTCATTTTGTTGTGGTTGATTTGCTGGTTCTTCAGAGAAAAAAAAGTTTTGGCTTCACAATTCTGGAGCACTTCTGCTGAGTTTTTTCCGGCTCTCTCTGTTTTGGTTTGAGATTTCCGGCTCCTGCAGTATCGTTGAGGTCTTGTTCTGAAGGAATCGTCCTGACTCACATAAAACAGGTTTTGTGGGCTGATCACCGACAGCCCCATTGCCGACACCGTCTCCCTCACTTACCTGAGTTAAGCGGCACATTTGGGTAACCGAGGAACTGGTGGGAGAAGCGGCTTCACAAACACCAACACATACAGCCGCCAAAGACCTGCCACAGCCACGGGTCCTGCGGGAGTCCTTCTCCCCAACTGTACCTCCTTCAGCCCCGAGGGCACCGCGAGGGAGGGAGGGAGGAGGGAGGGAGGGAGGAGGTGGTTGAAGGGCCGCCTGAGGGGAGGGAGGGTGGTCCCGCAGAGCAGAGCCCTGTGTGCGCGGCACCGACCGAGTGTCTGACTCGATCACAGACAGACGGCGCTGTGGGAGGCGGCGCCTCAGTGCATCGCCATGATGTGGGCTCTGGAGCGAAGCCCCGGGTGTGTGCCGCCCTCTCGCCGGTCACCGTGGCCAGGCTTCGGGGGCGGGGGGTTTGTGTCACTGTGTGCGTGAGAAGCATTACTTTGGGGCTACAGACAGTGTTAAGGTCTGGCAGTGAGCCTCGAGCCTCAGGGCCTCCTTCAAGGTAAGCCTCGAGCCTCAAGGCCGCTCCCCACCGGGTCCTGTTGTTATTGCTGCTCACAGCCCCGGGCTGGTGTCTTGCCCCACACACACTGGCCTGGGAGGGGAGGGGAGGGGAGGGGGAGGATAAACTGCAGCCCAGGCGCTGGCATTCGGCCTTGGGACGGCGCCCCCTGACCCGAGCACTCCCGGCCCGGCCCGGCACGGCCCGGCCCGGCCCGCACTCACCTCTCGCCTCCCTCGACAGGCGCGAAGGCGGGATCGGCTCAGACCTGTCCCAGACCCCGGGGTCTGGCAGAGAGTCAGCGGCCAGCGCTCCCACTGACTGCCAACATACACCGAGTAACAGACAGTAACACTGAGAGTAACACTGAGAGTAACAGTAACATTGAGAGTAACAGTAACACAGAGTAACACTGAGATATACTAAGAGTAACGCTGAGATACACTGAGAGTAACCCAGAGATACACGAGATATACTGAGAGTAACGCAAAGATATGCTAAGATACACTGAGAATGACACAGATACACTGAGAGTAACAGAGAGTAACACTGAAATACACTTAGAGTAACAGAGATATACAGTGAGAGTCACACTGAGAGATACGGCATAACCCAACAACAAAATTACATTAATATAGCTCTTCGTGTAAGATATCCCAGACGCAGGACAATTAGGGGTTTGCACCCAAGCTGGGGATTGGGATCAAGAGGGGTGGCGGGTGGTTGAAGTCACGGTCAGAGGAAGGCCTTGAGGACCACCTTGAAGGAGGCGAGGGAGGGGGACAAGGAGGAAGGATGTCAATCCAGAGGGTGGGGTAAGAAAGGCTGAACGCCCAATCACAAATGGTGGGGCAGGCAGGGTGACTGACGTGAAGCAGGTGGGTGCCCCCCACCCCCCCGAGGGGACAGGTTGGTATGGTGTTAATAGGTTGCAAAGTTAGGGAGAGATAAATACTGAAAGAATAACACCTAACAGATATACAGAATAACACACGAGTATCACTGAGAGAATAATAGAGAGATATACAGAATAACAGAGATATACGCAGTGAGAGTAACACTTGTGAGAATAACAGATATTCAGTGAGACAGGTGCACATTAGAGTTATTCTGTAAATCTCTGTTATTGTCTCAAATGTTACTCTCACTTATTCTGTATATCTATCAGTGTTAATTCCTCAGTGTTACTCACTATGTTATTCTCTCAGTATTACACTCACGCTATATCTTTGTTTTATTCTATGAGAATAACAGAGAATAAGATATACACAGAATAACACTAAAAAATACTGAGGGAAAGAGATAAACACAGTGAGAGTAACACTGAGAGAATAACTAAGAGATAAACACTGAAAGTGACACTGAGGGAATAGCAAATAAACACAGTGAGAGTAACCGAGGTTAACAACACTGAGAGATAAATACTGATAACACTGCTTTCGCTTCCATATGTTTGTGGATAAACTCAACTCTACTTTTCTGTATGCAACCTCAAATCCAAGACTATCTCTGTTCCGACAGTCTGGTCAGACATCAAGTCAATATTGACAAAACTAAAGCTATCCTTTCTTGGCTCCATCAGTGCCACCTCACCTTAGGCACAAACTATATTGACCTCCACAGCTGCAAGTGTCTCACTGAGCCTCAGTGTTTTGTTCAATGCTCAACTCACATTTAAGCCTTTCACCCAGGCTCTAAGTCTGCTTTCCTCCATCACTGCAATATTGCCCACCTCTGCCACTACTTCAGTCTCAAAACAGCCAAAATCCACATTACATATTTTCTTGTCTGTATCCTCTCCTAGTCTCATTGGTCTTCTGTCCCCTGGTGGATTGACTTTAATATCCTTGTCCTTGCCTTCATGCTAATACTCCACTTTACCCTTACTACGTCCTGTGACAGACAATACATCCACACCCATTTACCCCACTTTGCCTATTCGTGCCCTGACCCCGTTTGCCCCATCGTTAGTCACAGCCAAACAATGCACGTACCATTAAAGGTAGCAAACAAAAAAGCTCATCAGAAAGATGCTGCCTTCCGTCAAAACAAGGATGTAACTTACATAACGTTGAACAGGATCAAAGAACAAAAATGGCTGGTTTACATTCCTTCTTAACAACATCAATTGGAGTTTCAACAAAACTTTGCTTTAAAAAAAGTAATATTCGTATAGATTTGTGTGGATGGTTTCTGAAGAATTGTGTGGGTATAATTTGATTCATTTCCCTTTCCTGTTTGCTTAAGAGCAATTTGTCCACAAGCCACTTGGTGGCAACATAATCCCATTCTCCATCACATACTGTACTGTCAAACAACTGCAACCAGCTAGTAAGAATCATATAAATGCAGTATATGAGACAGTAGGAAGCCATTTGGCTCAATTTTTTCATATAGGTCTTTACCCCTTCAAGAAGCCTAATTCTTTAACTAAAACAGCCAAAATCCACATACCGTATTCATTGTATTGAATCTCTAACCAAATTCCCTGCTCTTTCCCCACATCATCTTATTCTGCATTATGCTTGTCATTTTTTAAAAATCCTCCCAACATAAAAGGCCCTATATTAAATGTGAGTATTATTATTCTTAATACCCTAATGTGGTGGCCCAAACTACACACAATATTCCCTATATATTTGGATGTACATCACATGTATGTGGATGACACCCAACTCATTATTATTATTATTAACTCTATCTCTCTGCCTCCATCCTCGACTCCAGGACCACTGCTATCCTGACAGAATGTCTGTCAGATATCAAGTCCTGGATAAGAGCTAACTTTCTACAGCTGAACGTCAACAAGACCAAGGTAGTCCTGATCGGCTCCCGTCAGCGCCTCCACACCTCAGGCGCCGACAGCATCACCATCCGAGGATACACACTCCACCTTACTAAGCCAGTCCAGAACCTTGGCATCTTGTTTGACCCTCAACTTTCTTTTTTACCCCACATCCATGTCATGTCCAACTCTGCCTTCCCCACCTCCGCAACATCACCCGTCTCTGCCACTGTCTCACACTGCAGGCTACACGCATTCATAACATCCAGGCTCAACTATGCAAACTCCTTGCTTGTCAGCCTCCCCAACTCCTCCCGCCATAGGTTGCAGATCATCCAGAACTCTGCAGCCCGTGTCCTCTCCCACCAGGCTCTGCGACTCTATCACCCCAATCCGCGCCTGACTCCACTGGCTTCCCATCACACAGAGAATACAGTTCAAGATCCTGGTCTTCACCTTCAGAACCCTCCATTGCCTCGCTCCCCCCCTACCAACCTGCCTGGTTCACGTCCCCTGCCTCGCCTCACCATTGGTAGGCAGGCCTTCAGCCACTCTGCCCCCACCCTCTGGATCTCCATCCCGCAGTCCCTCTGCCTCGCCCCCGCCCAAGCCTCCTTCAAGACCCGTCTCAATATCCTCCTCTTCAACCGTGCCTTTGGTCACCCTCCTTCCCCCTGCTCTCCACCCTCCTCAATCCTGACCCCCAGCTTGGGTCCGAAACACTGATTGTCTAGCACCTTGGGATGTCCTCCCGATTGTTAAAGATGCTATACAAATGTAATTTTGTTGTTATTCCAGCTGCAGTCTTACTTGTACTTATTGACTTTTCCTATCTAGCCCAGTGTTATTGGGTTCTTAAGAGATCAAATCTGGGACCTACCAGATCTGCAAGGCTCAGTCTCACACTAGGCATCGAACCTGGCAGCTGAATCATGGGAGCTTAATTCATATTCATTCAATTCATATTAGTTTCATATAATGTTGAAGGAAATAGAATCCATATACGGTATCAAAGAATGTCTAACAGCACAGAAAAATACCTGTTTTGTTTATGCTGATGCTGTCTATTCTCATCCTATTCCCCTGCTCTTTTTCCATACCCTTCAATGTTATTTTCCCTGAATTAATCTATTTCCATTCTAAATGCTGTGTGGTCTTGGCTTCATCTGCTATGTGTGGAAATGTATTCCATATTCGTATAAAAGCAATTCTTCTCTTATAAAATGTAAAAACATATCTTCTAACCGACCCTTTTTTCTTCCAGTTATATCCTTTTGTTACTGCTACCAGTATCTTGGGACGTCCTCCCAATGTGAAAGGAGCTACACAAATGTAATTTTGTTGCTGTTGATTCACCAATCAGTGGAAATAATCTATCAAAGGAGTTAATCATAGAATCATGGTACAATAGAAATTCTAGCATAGGTGGAGAGTTGAACTTAAAAACCTCATAGCATTGTGAATAACACAGAACAGAGAGTTTACTTTGACAGTGTTCTGCTATTTGTCATGAAGACTGAGAAATCCCTACCATACGTATTGCAAGGCATTTATAAGCCTGAACTATTGAGCAGCTGTAACTTGAATTATTAAAAGCACAAAAGTAATGCCTTTTTTTCCAAGTATCCAAAACTTACAATTCCTTATAGTTCCCATTTAATTAGATTGATAAAGATGTTAAATAGTTAAGCATTCATAGCACATGCTCCTTGTCAAATATTGAAAGCTAATTATCCGTCTTCTCCCACCCCTGCATCTGGTAATCACAAAATACCAGAAATCATGATGATTTCACAGATTGATGGAGTAACTCTCTAAGTACTTACAATAATTCCATTTGAAGAAGACTTCTTCCACCTTGTCTACAATAACTTCCTTACTTTTTTTTGTTTTAGCTTATAACCAACATTTTGCTACCCAACCTTTGCTTAGACTTTTTAGGTGTTTTTCACCCAAAATGATATCTGAAGCCTTCAGGGTTGTAATTGACTTTTTTTGTTAAGCAAATTTGTCATTGAATCACAATGTGCAGTTAGCTCAATGACTTCTGTTTACAATTGTCACATTTTCAATCCCAATGTTCTTCAAGTAAAATGTTACTTAAGAACATTATAATATCCTCTGTGCTACTGACTACTTGACTTATGATGCATGTAATAGAATGTGAGGTCACTTAGTTGCACCACCTATTTCCACGTAAAACATGCTGCTAATATTTGAATTATTCCCACAATCATGCATATCTCAATTTTAACCATATTAAAGTGCACAGGACTCCTATGGCCAAAATGGTCTTACTTTGATTGTCACACAATATAGGTAGATGGTAATAAAATCATGATAATTATCCTTGCATTTCATATAGTGCCTTGTCATGTCACTGAGACGTATAAAAGTGCTTCACAGAATATATAATTATTATTATTAATATATTGTAAAATTGATTGACTGTGTATTTGTGGACGAAAGGTGGCAGCCAATTTAGCACCGCAGTGACCCACAAACAGACATGAAGGTAAACAGAGGCGTGTGGAGTAAGGAAACCGGCCCAGGAATTGAACCCAGGTCTTCTCGTTTGCAAGGCGAGCACTCTAACCATTACTCTATGGGACTCCACTTATTGATAAATAGATGGGCAGTACATGATTATGGATGCAAATGTATTATTGGAGCTCTCAGTTCTGGTACATTGCCTTTTAGTGACTACAAACACTCAGGTGTTTGCATCAACCATTTCAGTTTTCTATATTCTACATCTTCTTTGAAATGTGCCACTTGGGAGCTGAGCAATTGTGTCCATTTCAGTTCAAGTAAACATCACAGAAGAGACATAATAGAGCCTTTCAATAGCATACTGGGTAAGTGCACAGAGCCCAAAAGGTCAACGGTATGATTCCTCGTCTGGACTGAGTTAACCACCTTTTCTCATACTTTAGTTAGTTTAGTTATTTTATTGTCTTGCTGCATAAAAGATCACACAAAACTCATGAAAGAGAATAAAGCCTATTTGGGTCACCAAATGGAAGTCCATCCCTCTGGTACATTAGCTCACCAACTGTTGGATCCAATTTCATTTTGAAAACCCCAATGTTTTTATCTTTGTCTCTATTACCTTGTAATATCTGATAATATTATTAACTGAGCTTTTTTTATTTCCATACCTCGAACAATTGTAAAGATTTGGGGTTGAAGCATGTGAATACAGCTAAAGTCAAAATATTAACAAAACACAAAATGCTGCAGATGCTGGAACTTTGAAACAAAAATAGAAGCCCCTGGGAACACTCAGCAGGTCAGGCAGATGCTTACTGACCTGCTGAGTATTCCCAGCAACTTCTGTTTTTGTTTTAAACTCAAAATATTGTTCGGCCCATATCAATAACTGACATTTTTATGGATAGTGGAATTAGTTGCCTTAGATTTCTACACTCGATTAAGTAAATAAGATGATTCTATCTTTAATGAATATTTTTCTCTGCTCCAGGATGAGTGAGGGACACTGTGAGGTTCAAGGATGATGTACATCAGGTTTTCTATGGCCCCGAGAAAGAACATTTCCTGCTCTATGCATCTGAGAATTGACTGTCTTCATCCTACTGAGATCAATGAGTGTGAGTGGCATGAAGTCCTGTGACTAAGACATATGACCTTCTCATTGAAAATTTAAAGGCCATATATTTTCTCTGAAAGTATTTGGCAAACATGCAAAAGCGAATTGCCAAACACTCTGATGTGATGACACAGCTGGCATGCCACTGTGTCCCAATGTGTTGATTGGGGCAATAGCGTTGTGATGAATATTACGTACAACTGTTGGCTCATGTCACTCCCTCGGAAGAAAGACAATTTTCTGTAACTCCCACTACTTGAGCTACTGGGCCAACCCTTGATGTGGATCAATTGAAACTACTCCCAACACTTCCAAGGCAGTTCTCCAACAGAAAAGGGAATAAGTCAATCATCCATGATAGTAATAATAAATATAATCCTTGCATTTGATATAGCACTTTATCACATAATTGAGACATCTCAAAGCACTTCACAGAATATTCTGCAAAGTGAATTGACTATATTTTGTGGGCGAAACATGGCAGCCAATTGCGCCCAACACTGTTCCACAAACAGTGGATTCAGTCACCAGTTGTTTTAAAAGGGATTGCCCCCGGAAAAGTGATCTACCAATCGACTAACAAATGGGTTTCTGCTTACTTTTAGGTAAACAGAGGTGTGTGGAGTAAAGAAACTTGCCTAAGGTTTCGCCCTGCCCGGGAATGATGTTAGCAACAAACCAGCCAGCTCACCACTGCCAGAGGCATGAGAACAGGTTTCCTCCTCAACTTCTGAAAGAAATAGTACATTAGCATCATAGACATTTAAGCATAGAAGGTGGCCATTCAACCCTTGTGCCTGTGTCATGCAAGCTCCTTCACTGGATCCATCTATTCTTATCTCATCTTCTTTCTCCGCGCCCTTTTACATCTTCATTCTTCAATTGTTTATCTAAATCCCTTTTAAATTAAGTGGTTGACCCCACTTCATTAGCAATTGTAGAAATTCTTTCCAAATCCTAATAACATTTTGTGTAAGGAATTTTATTTTAATCTCCCTCTTATACTTCTAGCAATGATTTAAAATTCAAATGGTTTCCAACAGGATGGGAAAAAAAAGGAAAGAGAAAGATAGTGGAGTTTGATCCTAGGCAAAATAGATGCAGCAACTCTTTGTTATAAAGACCCCATTTTATTAGCAATGTATTGTTTAATTTATTCCAAGTCTTTGAGATTGGAAGCTATCTTTGCTCAACTGTTAAATTTTAAGAACTCAAATCTGAACAATTTATGTTAAAGACTGGTCTGCACGATATTACAACGTAGCAATGCCTCCAAAGGTCTGCTGGTACTATAAACCAAGACAATAATAATAATCCTTGCATTTGATATAGCTCCTTGTCACATCTTCGAGATGTCTCAAAGCACTTCACAGAACTTACTGTAAAGTGAATTGACTGTATTTTGTGGGTGAAACATGGCAGGCAATTGCGCACAGCAATGTCCCGAAAGATTGCTTTTATTAGCCATAACATGCCACTAATAATAATCACAGTGATACTAATTGTTTAGTCCACAAAAACCTAATTAAGTGAGCTGAATTTAATATTCCTTGCACTTAAGGAATGTATTTCAAGTTCATTAAAATACAATAGATGCCATCCTTCGGGAATCAGAGGTTCAGGGTGTAACTGTAGTAACTGTTTGATTCCTGATAACTGTCAAGTGTAGTATAAAATTACTGTGATACTGGGCTCTAGAGAAGGCAGGAAACACCACTACACCAGATCAGCCGGAATTAGCTATTGAATATAACAACTTTTCTTCCAGGAAGAACAGCAAATCACTGGATACCTATTTGATTAATAAGTAACACTTGTACATATCTTTTTCTTGTATTTTATTGAGCCCCCAATACTGGAGACAGAATTTTTTTGGGGGGTGCGGCAAGGTTCTAAATTTCTGCAACTACAAATATTGAAACCTTACTATTAGGGTTCCCTAAAACTCAAAACTTAAAGAAAACCACTCCAGCAGTAACCACTCCTGTTCCGACCAGCTTCTGTGCTGGAGCCAGGAAAACTAGTATAAGTTTTAATATGATATAAAAGGCCCCAATAATCTGGATTATGAAATTCATCACACAATCTGCATTTTAGGACATTAGTTTGGGTAATATAAAAGACTTTGTTTGCAGATTAATAAGAAAGCTTTTTTACAATTCTTAAATAAATAGGTTGCCTACATTTGATATACCTTTGTAATAATAATAATAATAGTCCTTGCATTTGATATAGCGCTTTTCACGTTGGGAGGAAGTCCCAAAGCGCTTCACAGAACACACTGTAAAGTGAATTGACTGTATATTTGTGGGCGAACGCGACAGCCAATTGCGCACAGCAATGTCCCACAAACAGTCGTAGATTGAAAATGACCAATTTATTATTGTTTTTGGTTTTGGAGGGATTATTATTAGGCGTGTGGAGTAAGGAAACTTGCCCAAGGTTTCGCCCTCTGCCTGGAATTGAACTCAGGTCTCTCACTTGCAAAGCGAGTGCTCTAACCACTGAGCTACAGGACTCCACAGTACCTCATCAATTTGAATATCTCAAAGAACTTCAAACAATACTTTCAAAGAAATACTTTGAAACGTGGTAACTGATGTATAAGCAAATAAATACACACCTCAACAGAACGAACAGAACCTTGGTTTATTATCTCAAGTCCTTATATGGGGCTTGAACCCACACCTTTCTGACCTGGATGTGAGAGTCCTGCTAACTAAAACTGAGAGTGACACCTAATTGCTTTATATACTGATCATACTTGATAACAAATTACTGGTCTTTTAATCTTATCTACAGTGCTTGTATTTTTTCCCATGCTCCAATGCCGAGCGCTATCTTAAACACACAATAGAACCTCAATTAACTGATTACTGAATTTTTTTCTTTAAACTATGTCAACATCACAGAGTACTGGTTTGAAAATCCATAGAGCCCAACAGTACTGGTTAATATATTGTATAGTTAATGGTAAAACATCTCTAGATTAATGGATGCCTTTGTATCTAATTTGGTTGGTTCAGTCCTGACAGTAGTTACCTCTGGATCAAGCTAGTAACCCTTCTCGTGTTGTGAAGCCCACAAAATACAATCAATCACTTTCCAGTATATCCTGTGAAGTGCTATGAAATGTCTCGACAAAATGATAAGGCTTTATATCGAATCCAAGGATGATTATTAATAAAAAAAATTCAAGAATTGACGAAAATAAGATGAGTACATCAATAGCACGTCAATATTAATCTTAATTCTTAAAACTATTTATCTTTAAAATAGGATTTAGTGGTGAGTCACACTCTCTTTAAGGTTCCCTTTGTGATTGTTTGTGTGGCTTGATCTGTCCCTGTGTGCTCTCAGTTCAGCCTTGTGGTTTCTGTAGTTCAGCATTTGTGGATTATTGAGAGCATTCTCTGTCTCTCTCTTTCGCTTGCTTTTCTCCCCTACTGTCGAGCACTGGGCTGTTTCTTTGGAAACCCCCAGAGGACTTTAATAGCTTGGTCACAGACTGTTTGCAGGGAGAGGTCCACACTGTCAGTGCTGAGACATATGAAGCTGACATCCACTGACAGTGCATCCAATTGCTGGGGATCAACACTCATTGGACATACAGTACTTTATTTCCTTGCTGTCTGGATGCACTCATCAGATTTGGTTCCAAAGTAACAATATAGTAGAGACCTCAGTGTTTCCAGTGTGGCTCTGACATGAAGCCAATTGAAATCTGAGCAAGTTATTACTGACTTCTCGTTTGAGCTCGGCGACTGAAGGGGACAAGGTCTTTGCAGGTGAGGAGCTGAGCTTTGCTTTTTATTGTGATCCGCTCGCACATGACGAGAGGGGATTTTAAAGAAACCATTTCTAGTGTTAACCATTATTTCATTGTTTTCAATTTTCCAAACGTTGTTCTCCTTTGTTCTCATTCATTTCAATAGTTTCCAGGTTTTTTTAAGATTGAAAACAATTGAGGATATAACAAAATATATTTCCTTTCATTGCTTGACTTGTAGAAATGTCAGCAATTTTATTTTCAATAATTTTGTTTTCGAAGCAGATTGAGGGAGATAGAAACCAGTGTACGTTCAAATCGTTGTCAGTGACAATTGACTTGTTTATACAGAGATAATGGGACTGTTTAACCAGGAGAAATTGAACAAATTCAAATAGAGGGTTTAGCATGGTATCAGTTGAAGTGTTGAAGCGTTAAGCAAGTGAGTGTATAGCTGTTTGTTCACTTATAATTATTATTATTATTAATAATCCTACACCCACCCTTCATCATCAGCTTCAGTAACATGCTGCATGTACATCAGTAACAGTGCTGAAGCACCTCTTGGATCCCTGTGGCACAATAGCCTTGAAGTACTGCCAATCATCGCAAGAACTGTCTCTGTGGATAGGTAACATTCCTTCAGATGCATAATACAGTCCTTTTACTTTAACATTTTTAAAATTGATATTACCGTGATTGTTCAACAGGAGCATTTCTATTAATCTTATGTGTCAGAAACAGCTTACCCCTCGAAGGATGTTTTAGTTTGTTGCATAATAATAATAATAATTCTTGAATGTGATGTAGCTCTTTATCGCATCCTTGAGACATCTCAAAGCACTTCACAGAATGTGTTGTAGGTGGACTGACAGTATAGAAAGAATTGCATTTTTATGTTACCTTTCACTTAAAATATTTCAAAGTGCTGTGATACCTGAGGCAATCACTATCAAGTGCAGTGATACCTGAGCAAAATAGCCTTTAATTAGTACCAATCATCTTAAGAACCGATCTCTGTGAATTGGGAACATTCCTGTTGTTTCTGAAGGCAAACAGAGCATCTATTTTGCACGCAGAAACTTCCACACACATTCATGAGATGAGTAAAAAATTTAGAAAAATTTGGCATAGGCAACAGGACAAACAATCTATTTTCAAATAAAGTTACAGAATATTTAATATCCAGTTGAAGAACAACCACAATATAGGATTTAAATCAAAGTAAACACCTCCAATAAAACAGCACTCTTTCCAAAACTGCCCTGGAGTGTTCGTCTAATTGGCGACTTTATAATAATAATAATCCTTGATTTGATATAATGCTATTTATGTCTTCTAGACGTCTCAAAGCGCTTCACAGAATATACTGTAAAGTGAATTGATTGTACATTTGTAGGCGAAACACGACAGCCAGTTACGCACATCAGTGTCCCACAAACAGTCGTGGATTAAAGTGACCAATTTATTATTGGTTTTTTTTTACCCCTATTTGACCCAAGGCAAGAGTGCAATGAACTAAGCCAATTGGATACACAGCTGAAACACTTTACTCAGGAATACAGAAGATAACAATCCTGTTTTTTTTCCTTATTGTGGTGCAAATTTTAATTTAGGACAAACTGCATATAAAATAAAAATAGAGGCATGTGTGAAATATTGATTGACCTACAGGTCGATCAGAAACAAAAGGAATGATGGGTACTGTTAAAGGATTTTTTTATATGGTTAAAAAAAGAATAAGGCCAGAACAACAACAAAAATACATGAGGAATATATGAAATACTAAAATGTTGGGTTGTTTTACAATTGTGTAAATGGTTGTGTAACTGTGTAAAGGGTTGTGTAGATATAAAAGGGTAATACAGTTTATATGTGTAATTGCTGGATGTGTGAAAGTTGTATGGGTACAAAGTAGTATCGATATAAATGGTAGAATTGGTTTAAAAGGCAGGACAGATGTAACAAATTGTATAGAAGTAAAAATAGTATAAATAAAGAGCATTATATATTTTGTAGGCAATCACCTAAAAAAAAAGTCACTACACTTACAGTAAATCCTATGAAGCACTTTGAGACCACCTTCCAACATGAAAGGCACTTTATCAAATGCAAGACTTAATATATATTTAAATAGTATTATATATAAACACTGGTATTTATGTGAAGATAGTTTTGATGTAAATGATAATATAGGTATAAGCAGTAATTTAGGTGCAAATGTGTATGGGGTAAATGGTAGTATAGGTGTGTAAGTACGAATGGTGGTCTAGAAGTAAAGGGTGTACAGATGTAAATGATAGTTCAGGTGGAAGTGGTCATACAGGTGTAAATGGTAATAAAGCTAGAAAGGAAATACTCAATTTGGAAGAACATGATTTAATAAAACACTCAGAACCTTCACAGGATTGAACTTTGACTCGGATCTCTTAGTAACATTTTTCATAATCTATAATAAAATAATCCTTGCATTTGATATAGCGTTTTTTCACGTCTTCTAGACGTCTCAAAGCTACTAGTTATTGGAGCACTTCTACAGTAATAGAATGGATAAAAGTATTGAGGTAATTCTCTTTATTTTCCCTCCAGAATCCTGGCATCTATGAATCCTCCTGATGGCTACCCTTGGGATAGTTGTTAGCTTTGCCAATCTTACAGATCCATTCCTTGGATGGTCTAATTCAACGGATCTCAAACCTCCACGCAACTATTATGCTCTATTTTTTTCCCTGCTCATCTTTGTGATTGTTTTTGGGAATGTTCTGGTGTGTCTTGCAGTGCTCAGGGAAAAGACTTTGCAAACAACCACAAACTATCTTGTGGTCAGCTTGGCAGTGGCAGACCTGCTGGTTGCAACCCTGGTGATGCCATGGGTAGTGTACTTGGAGGTAAAGATACTTTTTATTATTTATACTGTTATTACTTGTATTATTATTTTGTCCACAAAATACAATCACTACACTTTACAGTATATTCCGTGAACCGCTTTGAAACAAATTGTTCCAATATGCAAAGTCAGCAACAAAAAATGATTCCCTTCATTAATTAAATTAAATTGTTCACAAAGAGCCCCATCTATCGCAAACCAAAACTCAAATGGGTAGGAACTTATTAACTGGATAAGTACCATGAAGCTAGGTTTAAGATTTCAGTCGTTGGCCATATGCTTCTAGCCTCATCTCTTGCCAAATGCACAAAAACAATAACAATTACTTGCATTTATATAGTGCCCTCCAAGCCGGGCGGCATCTCAGAACACTAAACAATGGTACAGCCAAAGGTCAACCCAGGGGGAGGGGGAAGGTGATTGTAAGCGCGGTCGAAGAGGAAGGTCTTCAGGCGTGACCTGAAGATGGGGAAGGAGAAGTGGTCGAGGGAGGGAGTTCCAAAGTTTTGGGGTGTAGTAGCTGAAGGCACGGCCACCGATGGTGGAGCAGAGGATTCGGGGGATGCAGAGGAGGCTGGACCCAGTATAGCGGAGGCTGGTGGGTCTGCTGTGAGGAGAGAGAAGGTTAGAGAGATAGGGGATGCCAAGGAATGGAGGGAGTTAAATACTAGAGTGAGGATCTTGAAGTTGATCCGCTCTGTGACAGGGAGCCAGTGGAGTTTGGCAACGACTGGAGTAATCGGGGTACGAAGTTTAGTGTGGGAGAGAATGCAGAGTTTTGAATGAGCTGAATTTTGTGAATAGCGGTGGAGGGGAAACTGGCGAGGAGGGCGTTAGAGTAGTCCAGCCGAGAGGTGACAAAGGCATGAACAAGGGTTTCAGCAGCTTTTGGGGTGAGGTATTGTCGGAGACGGGCAATGTGGCGGAGGTGGAAGAAAGCGGTGCTGGTTAGGGACCTCATGTGGGGTAGGAAGGATAACTTAGAATCGAATCTAATGCTTAATATACCAATACTTTTACTTCTCAAAAGAATTGTTTGCAGAACACCTTATAGCCATATTACACAGGGACAGGAGGAACACGGGAAATGAAATAAGCCATTTGGCCCACCAAAACCACTCTTTAATTCTATTTCCTGGCCTTTTCCAATAATAATAATAATAATAATAATAATCCTTGCATTTGATATATCGCTTTTCACGTCGGGAGGACGTCCCAAAGCGCTTCACAGAACACACTGTAAAGTGAATTGACTGTATATTTGTGGGCGAACGCGGCAGCCAATTGCGCACAGCAATGTCCCACAAACAGTCGTAGATTGAAAATGAACAATTTAATTATTGTTTTTTATTATTATAATCACCTTGTTCGAGAATCCAGTTTACAAATACTGCAAATTAGGTTCCATTGTTGGATTATACTTTGAATACAAGTAGATTTGTATGCCTTCATTCTTTTTTTCTCTATCTTGTTGTTGAGGTAAAACCTATAAAAAGAAATTACAAATTTTCTTTCCCACCAGGTGGTTGGAAATTGGATGTTCAGTCGAACAAGCTGCAACGTTTTTGTGACACTTGATGTCATGATGTGTACAGCAAGTATTTTAAACCTCTGTGCCATCAGTATTGACAGGTAAGTCTGTCGTTTCACACTTTTTCATACTTTGGGATATCCTCCTGATGTGATAGGCATGTGTTGCTGTTTCAGTTTGTTCAAAGATATTCAAGATATTCAAATTATTGAAGAATACAGTTGCTGTCATAATAGAAAAAGCAATAGAACTTGTTTCATCATAGCTTGGTCATTTATATGATTACAAGATCACAAAGCAATTATGGATGAATAAAACTTTGTGATCTCATCTATCCATAATATTCAGTCTGCCATATAATCATCCAGTTTTTTTCCTAGCAATCAATTCCATTTTTTTAATTTTTGAAGTCAAACTAAAGGCTCTGTAGTTGCCAGGTATGGTTCTGTAACCTTTTTCTTGACTAGGAAACCACATTTACCTGTTTCCAACTTGTCCGAACCTCACCAGTATTTGTTGACTCCCTCAAAATGTCTGTCAGTGTTTCATAAATTTCCTGTCCTGTTTCTCTAAGTACCCTGGATACAGTTCATCCTTCCTGGAGGATTAGTTGGTGTCTAGCCCATTGAGCCTGTCTAGAATCTCAGCTTTGTTAATATTAAAGCCCTAGAGATTAGGCATTGAATATTGGATGGCAACTATTTTCAGTTTCTTCCTTGATAAGATTCTTCAAGAGGAAGTCATTTACTATCTCTTATTTGTTCTCTTTTTCATTTTCTGTGTCTTTCTTTTGCATTTCACTGAACTAGGTTATGAACAATATTTTTTATATAACAAATTGTACTTAACCTCCAGATTTTGGAAGTGTTTAAATTCTATTCATTGTTTACCGGTTAATCCATTTCCAGTTTGTAATGTTTGTGAGAGAAAAACCTCCATTGTCCTCTGTATCCCAATGATATTTTACCGATGCAGCAAAACTAAAAACAATTGGTCATTTATTTCATGGCTGTTTGGGCTGCTGCATTTTGCCCACAACATTCACAGTGAATCCATTTTACAGTATATCCTGTGAAGCGCTTTGAGACATGTCAACAATGTGATAAGGTGATATATCAAATGCAAGAATTATTATTATTGTCCAAAGTTTCAGCACTGAAATTGAATAACATTTCAGTATTGTAAAAACAGTTTTTAACTCTAAACTTTCTCAGGTTCTGGGGTAATTGAGTGCTATTCTGACTCAATTTGCAGCATTCTTTCTTGCCTTTGGGTGAGAGTGGGAAGTAATTTTAAGCATGTCAATGTAGTGCAAGACTACATCCTGACTCAGTGTGTCAGGGAGCCCTCAAGGGCTTTTCTGTGTTAGTTCTCGTTAGTAACCCGGACACTATTGAGGGAATAGAAATAGTTGATCCACGTGGTAACAGTCAATTTAACCCGGGAGACAGCACAAGAATGTGACCAAACTCTATTGGGTATCCTTTAAAAACATTATATAGAGCATGCAGGATAAGTGCACACTCAAATGCAGTAAGGCCAAATTAAACAAAATTAAACAAAAATAGATCAATAGGAAAATAAAAACATAAAAGAAAAAATGGAAATTTACAAAGCTTTTAGGAAGAAAGGAGAGGGAAACAGTTGGACTAAATACAAGATTGTACTGCAAAAGGTAAAAAAAATCAAGGGAGCTGAGAATTTGAAAGGCACATAGTAGCAAATCCTAAACCTAATTCCAAAAAGTTATTTCAATCTTATAACAGTAAGGGAATAGACCGGGAAGAATCTAAAACCCTAAGGAACCAAATGGGAGTTCAAAAAACAGAGTAAACAGTACATAGCAAACATATCGATTGATTACATCCTGTACTGGGATCCTTCTTATTCTTTGAATACTTTAATGATTTGCATTGACAACCTCAGGGCATTGCAGTTGAATTTGCAGATGACACAAAGATATGAGGAACTGTGGAATTAGAGGAGGCAGGAGAAATCTTATAAAGAGAGTCAAATAGAGTATGCACATAGGCTGATGACTGGAAAATGAAGTTAAATACAGATAAATGCAGTTACTGTATGTAGAAAGTAAGAATACAAGGCACATGTACTGAATGGATGCCAAAGCAGAAGCTGAAAGACAACTAGAGGTGTTGGTTGACTGATCGTACCCCATGTCCAAGCAGTGTGAGGTAACAATAAACAAGGCAAACACGATGATGTCCTATGTTGCCAAATTGAGTTCAGATCCCCAGACATCCTGCTCAAGCTGTACAGTGCTCTTACTCAAGCTGCAGCTGGGCTACTCTGTACAGTTCTGGTCACCACAACAGAAGGGGCTACCTAAACCCTAGAGGCAGTGTAGAGGAAAGCAAAGATATATTAGCAATGATTAGACAAGCTATAGCTCTTCAATCTTAAAAAGAGAGAGGACATTTTACACAGGTGTATATGATTTCAAAATGGAATTGAGAATGTGAACTCAGAACAATACTTGCAGATGTGCCAAGATAGTAGAATAAGAGGTACAGCTTTAACAACAACAACAACAATAAGATTCCATTTATAGAGCGCCTTTCACGTCGGGAGGTTGCAAAGGGAAATTTCAGTACAGACACCACAATGTATTTATTTACCCGGGGAGTAAACTGATTATCAGTTTATAGGGTGAGGCCAGAAATGCTAGATCCATTAAAGAAACAACTTGATGCTGCAATGGGAAGACAGCAGGTGAGTATTCTGGGAGAATGAGATCAAATGGGCTGAAGGGCTTTCAATCATCCAAACCTCTCATGATCTTGTGAATGTTGGGGGATTTGAGATCAATATAAGGATCTAAACGCATAATCTAAAACTAACACTCCATTGCAACAAAAACAACAATATAGCACCCTTCATGACAGATATTGTATAGGAGAGTGCTGCATTTTTGAAATTGCCATAAAAAAAAGCTAAAAATGGAGAGACAGCGCAAATTGAGTAAAAAAAGAAAGGGAACAGTGTAGAGATAAAAATAGAATTAATAGAAAAAGAGAGGGTAAAGTTACACAAATTATATATTCTTCCTGATCTGACCAAAATGGAAGATGTCGGTTTTGGAAATTAGATATTTTCAACATTTGCAATGCCATTATGACACACGATCAGATCAGATACATAGTTAAGCAGTGAGAACGATATGGTAAAGGAAGCTCCAGCTGGGCCAGGCTTGAATTTCAACCCTCAATAGACTTAAAAGGGAACTATATACTTTAGTCATTTGTTCCAAAAAGGAGCCATCTGCTGCACCAGAAGCAGGAAAGATATTGAAATAAAAAGTGAGCCAGTGAAGACATTTTATTTTCCATTTTACAGTGAAAAGTTAATAAAAATATTGAATGTAATCTTATGCCTTATCACATTGAAATGTCTCGGAGCACTTCAGTGTTTTTTTGTTAAGTGTATGACTGGGTAAAGTTATACCACTATTACTCTGAAGTCTACATTACAAAGCCCATGGTATTTACTGCAGGTTCCAGCAATGGAAAAAGTAAGTTTAACTTTTCAAAACATAGGAAGCCAAACAAGCAGAGGTAAGATTTGCATTGTACGTACCTTGGCTCTGCCTTGCTAGGATTCATTGCAGCTACACCTTCTCCAATGTTTATAATAAAAATAATTCTTGCATTTGATATAGTGCCTTATCACAATCTTGAGACGTCTGAAAGTGCTTCACAGAATATACTGTAAAGTGGATTGACTGTGTATTTTGTGAGCAAAACGTTTCTCCTTTCTCACCACTGTGGTATGCTTCTGCTATTAAATCCACACTACTCAGAGTAAATGATGCTTAGCGGGTGCCTGCATTTGTTTCCAGTTCAACTTTGCAACCAACATTTTCACCTTTAAAATTTATTTTCAAAGTGGCACACATAATAACAAGTTAGAAAAATATTTGGAACCTTTCTTTAGTGCTTCTTGGTAATGTCAGACAATGGCGCCTCCTGCCAGTTGCTGAAGGTGGTCCACCACCATTTTATCAAACTGCCTTCTTTCAGTAAGCATGAGATCATTTCCAAATAAAATCACTCCGCTATCCACTTCTATCTCCACTAAAACCTGCATTACAACATTGCTGAACCAAAACCCCCTCAGTTCTTGTTCCACCAGATAACATCTACTTTAAACTTTAAATACCATTTGATAAATGGTATTTGCTGCGCTGTTGGACATGAATATTTCTAACAAATTCCCAATATTTAGAGTGCACGTTGTTCAGGATTTGTTACTTCATTTACTCCATTTTCGTTTCCCACACTCCCATTTTTTTTCCGGCAGCTCATTCTATCCACCAGATAGCAATGGCACATTTGGTGGTAGATGTAAGAGATATTGAGCTGCTGCAATATCTGACTTGGAGAAATCAACTTCATAGCCTCATTGATTTTCTCATACCATTGACAACACTGCAGCTCTGTGAATGCCAGTAATATTCTCACTACATGCCAAGTGTTTCACAAGCTAGAATAACAGCTGCCTTGCAAGTGACTTAAATTTTTCGCATATGAGGAGCCATTCCTCTCTGCCATGAAATGTCAGATTATTCAGTTTATGTAGAAACTCCTGTATTGTTAGTGCCATCTGAAATCAAAATCGGGACACTCACTGTGCTGATCACTGAGAATATAGCCATTCAGCCCTTCAACCCTATTCCTTTCACAAACTATGTAAAAATGCATCCTCTCACACTCCATGGCTGTTTGAGGGACATTGTTATGTGCAAATTGCCTGCCGCATTTGGCTTCAAAATGCACAGTCACTACACATTACAGTAAATTATGTGAAGTACTTTGAGACATCCTCCCATTGTGAAAACTGCTTATTACTTATTATTATAGCTCAGTGGTTAGAACACTTGCTTTGCAAACGAGAGACCTGGGTTCGATTCCCACCAGGGCGAAACCTTGGGCAAGTTTCCTTATTCCACACACCTAATAATAATCCCTCAAGAAAAAAATAATAATTTGGTCACTTCAATCCACGACTGTTTGTGGGATACTGCTGTGCGCAATTGGCTGCCGCATTTCACCCAGAAATATACAATCAATTCACTTTACAGTATATTCTGTGAAGCGCTTTGAGACATCTAGAAGACCTGAAAAGCGCTATATCAAATGCAAGGATTATTATTATTAGTCTTATGAGGAAAAGTTCTGCATCAGTGCTCACCGATGCCCAAAACCTTCCCAAAGCTTTTTTTTAAAAAACATGTTGAACGTTACGTGTGGCTCATGGATAAACTCTACATTCAGATAAGTTAGAGTCAGAAATGTCTGTATAAGATCATGTTTGCTCTTGTTTTAAGGTACACAGCTGTGGTAATGCCGGTACAATATAACACCAGTTACTTCTCCAGGACACGGGTGACTCTAATGATCTGTGGTGTATGGATATTGGCGTTCGCAGTTTCTTGTCCTCTTCTGTTTGGTTTCAATACGACAGGTAAAAAAGATCTTAATTTGTTCTGGAAACATTCTTTGTAAGTGTGTATAAAAGTGTTTAGGGGAAAAGACAGGAGAATGGGATGAAAGATCAGCTCTTTCAGCAAGGCAGCCACCACATGCTCAATGAGCCGAATTGCCTCCTTCTGTGCTGTGATTTTCTATGATTCTGTGATAACAAAATAAATTTGAGTGTCAATATTTAGGTCAGTGTGACCTGATTCAAAGTGTACTGATCACCAAAACCAAAGCATGTGGTAATATTCAACACAGGGAAAACAACAAGGTGTGTGTTAGCCTGGCTCAGTTGGTAGCGCTCTCATCTATGAGTTTGAAAATTGTGAATTCAAGCCCCAAATCGGGACCTGGAACTCAATAGGCTATGATGCTATTACAGTGCACCACTGGAGGTGTGCTGTATTGTTGGAAGTCCTTCGGATGAGATGTTAATATGAGATCCCAGGTTCCTGTTCAAGTGGATGTTAAAGATCCCATGGCACGACTCAAAAAAAGAAGGGAGTATTGCCACTTTAGCTACACATTGAGAAGTATTAATAATCTTTACATTTGGTATATACATTTGGTTATCTGGTGGCATGTGTCATATAATGTGACAATATTCATTGTTAATAATTCTCACTGATAGTATCATATCACCAAATTTTATGATTAATTATAACTATTAACTAGTCCATTGTCATGAAGTTTCTCTGTCCAAACCCCCACACCCACACCAAAACAACAGTTTGCCATGAAGCCATTCTGAAATTGTTGCTGCCATCACCGGATTTAGGCAGATTAACGTAGAGTTAACTAGGTGCGTCACTGAAACCCCACATTTCCTCAGTGTTGCAATACTCAAGCTTAAATGTGGGGGAAGATTAAGAAAATTTAAAAAGCTTATGATTTTTCTCAGGGGCATGTGAAACATCAGATTTATATAAAGAATTATGGTAATCCTTAGAAGATGTGTTTATGACCTCAGGACAAAGTTGCTCCTACAGTTATTTCAATGGCCACAACTCCAAGCTGAATAGCCTGCCCTTCAAAGTGACGGGCTTGTGTTGGCATCCACGAATTCCCCCACACTGAACTCTTTGTTAGTTGTCATAGGACTCAAGCTATTTTCTCATTGCAAGAAGATTAAAATAATTATAGGATTGACAACTTCAGGGTTTGGTCTCAATCAATATGAAACTATTCCTGGGCAATAAGAGCTAAGGCTTCACTGTACTTCAGATGATTAAGGCACAGATTAAATTAAATGTAAAAGCAAGATAGAATTGGAAGACACCATTCTGGGATATTCAACATCCCAAATATTATATTATTCAAAAAAACTGCAGTTTTTAATAAATATTGAAATGTCTGATAAATATTGTGGGTGTAAACAAATACTGGAGATAGTTATTGAACATCACATACTTTAGCCTAGTGTTCCTTAATAGTTAATAGTTTGAGGACAGATTAGGGAAAGATTTTCCATACCCACCTCTTTCTACAGGTTGTCTAGCAAACTACAGATAAAATAGCCGCCAAGATTTTTGGAGAATCTCTAAGGATTAATTTATATATATGAATTTATGTCGCACCATTCACATTTCAAGACAGATGTAGATAGCTATTTGTTAGGTCAAGGTATTAAGGGATATATGGGGCAAGGGCAGTTAACTGGACTTAAATTATAAATCTGCCATGATTTTATAAAATATAAAATATAAAATAGCCTACTCCTGTTTCTATGTTCCCTTCATGTAGGTAGCATTATGGAGCACTTAATTCTGGTTACATGGTACTAAAAGAATAATACGATTTTTTTATTATATCATTTTGCAGATGACCCACAGTTATGTTCCATATCCAATCCAGACTTTGTCGTGTATTCATCCATAGTATCCTTCTACCTGCCATTTTTTGTTACACTGCTGGTTTATGCACGTATTTATGTGGTACTAAAGAGGAGGAGGAAACGAATCAACTCAAGGCAAAATAGCAACGCTATGAGTCCAGAGAATTTCATTCAGACCAAAGTACTACAGGTAAATAATGATAATAATAATAATCCTTGCATTTGATATAGCACCTTATCATGTCTTTGAGACGTCTTAAAGTGCTTCACAGAATATACTGCAAATTGTAGTGACTATATATTTTTTGTGGGCGTAACGCAGCAGCCAATTGTGCACAGCAGTGTTCCATAAACAGTTGTGGATTGAATGACTGAATTATGAATGACCAAACAAACCTCAAGTGTTTATAAGTTGCTGCGATACTAAGTTGATTCTGGAGTGGTGCAAAAAACTGGGGTGGACTGTCACCCATTCTTTCCCATGCTTGCCAGGGGATAGCTCCTAAATAAGAAGAAAGTGGTAAATTGTGGGATTAAATAAAAACAAAAACAAAAGAAACAAATAAAACTCCTGCTATTTGTTTTACAAATGTAAGCTTTAGGTTGTCACCAGAACAGTTTAGTTCTGAATCGTTGCAAGAGAGTCCCACATTCCATGGAGCCTTTATTCATAGGACACATTAAGGAAAACATTCCCACAAACACTTATTTCCATCAGTTTTCCAGCAAGCTAGTTATAAAATAGGACCAAGATTATTGGAGAATCCCTGAGGATACATTTTAAGATCCTTGCGCTTGTCTTCAAAATCACTCCACAGGCTTGCTCCACCCTACCCTCCCCATGCAATCTTTTGCATTCTGATCCACACTTTCTACTTTTCCAAACTGCTTGCTTCTCGCACCCTTCACTCCACCACTGGTTGCTAGTAAACTGTATGCAAATACATTGTTTATAGAGGGAATTACAGGTGCATTTAAATATGTAATTTACAATAAAAAGGATTATAGGTGATTCTGTTACATTGCACAAATTAGACCCGATATCTGGTTATGTCACCAAAATGAAATAACATAATATTACTGGCTTCACAGTTATATAAATTCATGACTGGCACATAGAGATATTGCTTGTTTATTTGTGTTAATTTGCTCTTTTTAATCTAGGAGAAGTGGATGAATGTGAATCAAATCAAAACTGTAACAACAGAAGAACAGCATAATACCTTGTCCCTGCTGAAAGCTCAAAGTGTGAGTAGCCAGGTGTTTTCATATTGTTCACACTGAATATGTGGCAAAGTGAATATTGGCAAAAGAAGCAGTAAACATGTTTCTGCAATAGCAGGGTGTCCATTAGCAGAGGTGGAGAAAGGAAAAAAACTATGTGATTATTGATCACTGAAGGCTTCCAGTCAATATGCAACTGCTGTCAACAAAGCAAATCAAATACTAGAGTGAAGAACAATTTTTTTTCAATAGCACCATAATGGCAAATTTCTCAGTGTGCTTCATGGTAATTAACTTCAGGTGCAGCACACTATATTTTTGTAAGTAACACAGAATCCATTTTTCACACACTGATATTTCACAAACTGCTATGTGGTGAATGATCTAATTATCTTTTGACAAGGAGAAAATCCCTTCTGTTTTCAAAGGTATCATTAATCAGAAGAACAGGCAATTGTCTCATATCTTCAACAATCCAGCAATACCCAGCACTGCACTGATGTGTCATCTTAGACTATGAGCTCAAGATTTTTAAAAATTAAAGGGATTAAGGGATATGGGGATAGGGCGGGTAAATGGAATTAGGTTAGTAGATCAGCCATGATCTTATTAAATGGTGGGCAGGCTCAAGGGGCCGAATGGCCTACTCCTGCTCCTATTTCTTATGTTTCTAATGTTTCTTATGTCCCTTCATGGGCTTGTATCCACAACCTTCAGAGACACTAGTACTAGCAACTGAGCCAAGCTGACACTGAGCAAGCTTGTACTTCAGATTGTATCGTTTCGCTCGTAACATCCGCACATCCTCACATCCGCACCACAACTGGCACCGCCTTCCATCACCTCCGGAACATCGCCAGACTACGGCATTACCTCACCCCTCATGCTGCTGAAACCCTGGTCCACGCCTTTGTCACCTCAAGGCTGGACTATGGGAACTCTCTCGTCGGCCTTCCCGCCACCTCCCTCCACAAGCTGCAGGTCATTCAGAACTCTGCAGCTCGTGTACTGTCCCGCACCAGGCTTCGGGACCACATCACTCCCACCCTCGCTCGCCTCCACTGGCTCCCCATCCCCCAGAGGATTGATTTCAAGATCCTCATCCTCACCTACAAGGCCATTCACGGCCTTGCTCCCTCCTACCTCTCCAACCTACTATCCCCCTACCTACCTGCCCGTACCCTCCGTTCCTCTGGCTCTGGTCTGCTCCACGTCCCCCACCCCAACCGCCCTACCATCGGTGGTCGGGCCTTCAGCCTCTCAGCCCCCAGGCTCTGGAACTCCATCCCCCAGTGCCTTCGCCTTGCTTCCTCCCTTTCCTCCTTCAAGGCCGGTCTCAAAACCTTTCTCTTTGACCGTGCCTTCAGCTCCCCTCTCGACTCTCTTCCCCCTCCTCGCTCCCTCCCTTCCCTCCCCCTGACCATTTCCCCCCTCCTTGCTCCCTCCCTTCCCTCCCCTCACCATTTCCCCCTCCTCGCTCCCTCCCTTCCCTCCCCTCACCCTGACCATTTCCCCCCTGCTCGGGTCATGACCCAACTGTGCAGCGCCTTGGGACGTCCTCCTGACGTGAAAGGCGCTTTATAAATGGAATCTTGTTGTTGTAACATATACGGTCAATCCACTTTACAGTATGTTCTGTGAAGTGCTTTGAGACGTCTCAGTGATATGCTAACGGGCTATCTCAAATGCAAGGATTATTACTATCATAACCTCAAGGACATGAGACTGAAAGCCGAAATAACTTATTTTATCTTTGAATAGATCAGTGGCGAGTCCCTATTTGGAACTATATATGGAGTTATATGGAGGCAGGAGTTTGATTCAGCACACAATAGTATACTGTATATGTAAAAAAAAATTCACCCAAATAATTGAAATTTTAAAATTCATGATATACCTGTTTAGCTGTTTGCCCATAACTATATGCACAAGCCTGAAACTGGCCTCAACTATAACTATATGCCCATAACTATATGCACAAGCCTGAAACTGGCCTCACTGGAATACCAGCATTCCAGCAATTCCCAACAAATATTGTCTCCGGCAATGTGCTTGCTCCAAAATAAATTCTGATTTTTACCAAATGTACCCAGTTTCTTTTGGGGAGGAGAAAATGTTAGGTTTTCATTTTGTGAGTTACAAAACAACTTTAATGGCCCTTTAGTATCTGGGATTGTGTAACCAAGATAATGGCTGGTTTACCTCTCACTGTTGATTTAAATGGTTGAAGTGTTGATATATAATCTATTCTGTATTTTAGCTTTGTTGACATAAATGTAAATAGATTTAGCCCTAACTTCTGTTTTTTTAGTGAGCAAGATACAGATAGCTTTGACTGGGAGTCATTCTGCTCAGTGAAGTAGAAGAATGCTGAGGCAACAGCCAATGGCCCTGTTCATACTGGAATCCAAATGGTGGCGTTGTTCTAATAGAAGCTGTTAAAATAATTCTTCCATCCAGTAACATTTCCTCCGTCCCTCACCTTCACTTTTTCCCTCTCCTTTTCCCCTACCTAATGGGTAGCATTTCTCCCGCGAAACACGCATTCAAATTCACTTTACAATATATCCTGCAAAGGGCTTTGAGACATCTCGGCAACGTGATAAGGCACCCTATTAATTGCAAGGATTATTATTATCTAGGTGAGTTGTACACAGAATTTTTGATCCCCCCCAAAACAAAAGTGAAGCTAACGCTAAAGTTCGAAGTGGAGTCCAAAAATATGTAATGCCAAGCTGCTGGAATGGGTATATTTCAGGGCAGATTGTTCAAAGTTGTTTTGCTTGCATTATATGTTGCAGTAAGACCTGATGACATGGTGCAGAACAGTACAGTAGTAGCATTGCGAAATGCACAATTGACAGTGTAATAGTCAATTCTCATTGTTATTGCATCAATGTAGCGTTTGCTACAAATTGAGGTTTGCGTGGGAATTCATCTGGAAAATATGGAGGTTTTGATACCTATGTTATAATAATAATAATAATCCTTGCATTTGATATAGCGCTTTTCACGTCGGGAGGACATCCCAAAGCGCTTCACAGAACACACTGTAAAGTGAATTGACTGTATATTTGTGGGCGAACGCGGCAGCCAATTGCACACAGCAATGTCCCACAAACAGTTGTAGATTGAAAATGACCAATTTATTATTGTTTTTGGTTTTGGAGGGATTATTATTAGGCTCTGTGTGGAGTAAGGAAACTTGCCCAAGGTTACGCCCTGCCTGGAATTGAACTCAGGTCTCTCGCTTGCAAAGCGAGTGCTCTAACCACTGAGCTACAGGACTCCGTAGCCTTGTATCCTGCTGTATGTTGTATCCTGCTCTCATTCTGATCTAGAGAGGCTGAATGCTTCTACAATTCTCATTTCACACAGTTGTGGAATATTCTTAGTTTCAGTCTTAAATTGGAAACTGGTTCTCAGAAAGAACCTGATATGAAAATTCAGGTGTTATTGGAGAATTTTCTACAATTCTGTGTAATTTAAAATGTTATGACTAAGAGGTCTAAGCTAAGACTGGGTGGAATCTCAGGCCCTAGTTGTGGGAACAAAAGAAATCTTTCAGCACAACTTTATAATAGCATTTCCTATTTCACAAGAATTACATAGACTGTATAACACAGCATCAAGCATCAGTAGTATGTACTGGTGTTTATACTTCACGTAAATCTCCACCCATCCTAATTACGCCTCCCTAGCCTCCCTCCATACTCCTCTTTTGCCTTCTTCCTTCGTGTATGCATTGAATTTCTTTTTAAAAGCCTAATTGCTTTCTGGTTCATCCATGGCTTCTGGCAGTATGTTCCACTTTCTCACCACCCTGTAAAGACATAATGAAAAATTGCTATGTTTACCCTTATAGGAACATCAGTCTCATGTGCATTGATCTGTTTCCTGAAAAAAAGGCAAGGGTCTGGTCTCTCATGTAAAATAAACCAGCTGACATTTCAATAATTTTTTGTGTTATTCTGTCGGGCTTAAGGCAAATTCAAAGGAACCATTTTCCATAATATATCACTTTGTGTCAGGTTTTAATTCAGAAAACATCCTTCAACAACAACAATACTTGGAAATAGCAGGGAAATGGTATCTGCTATTGCAGTCAGTATATTGCATTCCATGGAAAGGATTGCATTGTATCAATCCAAAATAAACAATTATTTGATTAGTAAGTTACTGTCCATCAGCATAAGTTCCCAACTGCCTGCCTGATGTTAAAGGTCCCACAGAACTATTCATTAAGTGAAGGGAGTTTTTTCCAATGTTCTGAACAATAATAATAATAATAATAATCCTTGCATTTGATATAGCGCTTTTCACGTCGGGAGGACGTCCCAAAGCACTTCACAGAACACACTGCAAAGTGAATTGACTGTATATTTGTGAGCGAACGCGGCAGCCAATTGCGCACAGCAGTGTCCCACAAACAGTTGTAGATTGAAAATGACCAATTTATTATTGTTTTTTGGTTTTTCGGAGGGATTATTATTAGGCGTGTGGAGTAAGGAAACTTGCCCAAGGTTTCGCCCTGCCTGGAATTGAACTCAGGTCTCTCGCTTGCAAAGTGAGTGCTCTAACCACTGAGCTACAGGACTCCAAATAACTATAAATAACTCCAAATAACCCCTCAGATAAAGCAGGTCATTCACCTCATGGTTGTTTGCTGTGCAAAAATTAGTTGCTGCATTCAGCCTCAAAATAGACAATCACTGTACTTCACAGCTTTGAGACTTCCTTTAGATGTAAAGATGCTATAACAAATGTAAACATTATCACAGTATTGTTTTTTAACATATTTCAGAGCTTTAGAGCTGCAAATACAAGTTTTTTTTCAATAATTATATACAAACTGTGTAAATTCTGATTATTTCATTACTATCAGGATATCCAAGAAGACTGTTTTCATGCAACCTTACATCCATTCACTTGCCTGAAATTGAACAAGCAGAAGGACCTTTCTTCAAAGACTGAGACAATAACTCCAGTTGAGATACCAAATTATTACAGTGTCAGCCAAACTTCAATTGCAAAAACAGAGAATGGAATTGCGGAAACAGAGAGAAAGAGCAATTGTGCAATGGTAAGACATGCTTCCGAAGTGAAACAATTACCTGGTGGAAAAACCAGGACCTCGCTGAAACCCATATTGATGCGCAGAAGTCTGCAACTTAGAGAAAGAAAAGCAACTCGCATGTTGGCAATTGTTCTGGGTAAGTTTTGAGACAGTTGTTTCCTATCTTAAAACACTTAGCAGATAGCATTCCACAATGGTACCCCGCATAAAGTACACAATATAAATACAAATCATTGTAATTGACAAGCAAGTTCTTTTAATGAGAGGGCATAAATCCTGTATAGCCTTGGGGCCTCCATTGTTACAGATTCCACAGTCCTGGAACGTATGAAACTTCAAAATATTTAGCCTAGTCTTTAAGGTATTTGTTGATTGCATTTAGTTATATGCTGTTTACTGAGATCACAGTAAGGTATAAGAACAGAGGACGTGAACCGAGCATTGAACTAGCATCAAAACCGACCCAGGGAGTTGCTTGTGCTAAGACTGCAATTCCCTTCAGCCAGTTTCCAATAATAAACAGACATAAAAGATTTGATATAAATGATTTTTTATAACATTTTTATAGTGAAGTTGTGTTCGTTAAGTTAGAGCTATGAACACTCGTACACTGTGACAGCATCACACACTCTATAGATAGAGTACAGCTCTCTCCAATGTTCACATCAGTTACAGTCTTCAAGCAGTACCTCCTGCACCAGTGTGACAATTTCCACTTCCTGTACTAATCAAACTGGGACATTCCCAAGTGAAATTGTCAATTTAATGCCAAATTAATGTTCAATTTGTACTGTAAGCCCACCCCACCATGAACTGAGTTAAGTCTACAAACAGAATCCTTGCGGTCACAGAAGAGATTTCAATGCATCATCAACAACAAATTACATTTGTATGGCCCTTTCATCTCAGGAGGATGTCCAAAAACGCTGGATAGTCAGGGATTTGCACCCAAGCTGGGGGTTGGGATCAGGAGGGGTGGAGGACACTGAGTGTGGTTTTATGAGGGTGACCGAAGGCGCAGTCAAAGAGGAGGGGCTTGAAGGAGACAAAGTTTCAAAAGGTGGGGGTAGAGAAGCTGAAGGCCTGACCACCGATGGCGGGGTGGGCCAGTGGGGGCGACATGAAGCCGGCCATAGTCCGCTGAGTGAAGGGAGCGGATAGGTCAGTATGGAGTTAGCAGGTCACAGAGGTAGGGAGGAGCAATGCCTTGGAGGGCTTTGAAAATAAGGATTTCAAAGTGAGGACGAGGATTTTGAACTCTATCCTCTGGGGGATGGGGAGCACTGGAGCCAGCCGAAGGCAGTGGCGATGGGGTCACAGAGCTTAGTGCGGAAGAGCACATGAGTTGCAGAGTTCTGAATAATCTGCAACTTGCGGAGGGAAGAGTTGGGAAGACCGACAAGCGGGGAGTTAGCATTATCAAGCCTGGATGTGATGAATGCGTGGATGAGGATCTCGGCGCTCTGAGAGGAGAGGCAGTGGCGGAGCCAGGTGATGTTGTGGAGGTGGGGAAGGCAGAACAGGTCATGGCACGAATGTCGTATTTGAAAGACAGTTGAGGGTCAAACAAGATTCCAAACCAGCCACTGGCCCAGTGAGGGGGAGTGCGCATAACTAATGGTGGAGGTGCGAGTGCCTGGGGTGTGGAGGCACTGACAGGATCCAAGGAAGAGGGCTGGCATTCTACTGGAGGAAATTAGCTCTCATCCAGGACTTCATGTCTGACAGTCAGGACAGTCTAGGTTAGGTTAAAAAAAACTCCTGTGCCCCTATTTCAAAGAACATTTAGGAGTTTGGGCAGTTTTCATGTTTATTATCCCTCCCTCATCACTCCAAAATATTCAGTTAATTGACTACTCACTTAACTTATTGTCTATGGGATGTTGGTACCACTGATGAGCTACATGTTTGCCCACATTGCAAATTATTCTCATTTTGTGAAACACTTTGAGACGTTCTTTCATTAAAAGGTTTTATGTAAATGTAAGTTATTTTCTAGCAGTCGACTGCATTATTCATTACAATTGCAGTGACTACATCAACATAGTTAATCCTTCAGTGCAGTCACCAACACATGATAACCATGTGAAGCGTCCCACCCATTGATAACTTCAAGGCATCTGCCATTACCAAATCCTGGGTAAACAAATGAAACTCCTCTGTAATTGAACATTATATATTTTAAAAAATATAATGAAGATGTAGATGTGATGCCCAGACAGTATTACCTTTGTTAGGATTCAATTAGAAACTACTTGAGTTTTATCTATTGACCAAAAGCCCTCAATGAGATTGCTTCTGGTATACTTTATAACGGAACAAAAGGAGATCACTGTTCTTTGGAACTGTGATTTAATGGGTTACTGATGGTAACACATTATTCCCAGTCCAGATCACATCAAGGACAAACTCCAAAATCAGGAATGAGGTTTTTAATAGTTCCAATGTGATATGGAGCGACAACCACCTGGGAATTCAGCCAGAGTAAATAATGTTGAAGACCTTCTCCTGATCTTTGCCAAACGTACCCTATTGTGAATCAAATGGAAGAACACATCTGTGGGCATCATTCGAATGGGACATAACTCATCCGTGGTCTGTTGAAAGCTCCCGAACAGTCTTGTGTACAACCATGGAGCATTTTACCATGTTTGTCTGATTTGGTTCCCCAGGTGATATCAGCCTTATTTCTTCAGCGTTATTTAGTTTGGTTCAAACACCAGTTATACTGCACGATTCACCAAGAATCACCACCAAATAGGGGTGATTCACTACAAATGTTGCGGCACACATCTAATATTTAGAACAACAACATACAACAATAAGATTACATTTGTATAGCGCCTTTCACATTGGGAGGTCGTCCCAAGGTGCTGGACAGAGTACAGCATTTTAGACCCGAGCTGGGATTGGGGGGGGAAGGGAGGAGAGGGAAGGGACGAAGAAGGCATGGTCGAAGAAGAGGGTCAAGGCAGGACTTGAAGGAGGCTAAGGAGGGGGCGAGCAGAGTGACTGGGGGATGGAATTCCAGAGGTTGGGGCAGAGTGGCTGAAAGCTCTCCCGCCAATGGTGGGGCGGGTGGATCGGGGGATGTAGAGCAGGCCAGAGCCGGCTGAGTGGAGGGAACGGGCGGGTTGGTAGGGGGTTAGGAGGTCGCAGAGGTAGGGTGGGGCGAGGCCATGGAGGGCTTTGTATGTAAGGACCAGGATCTTGAACTGGATCCTCTGAAGGATAGGGGGCCAATGGAGTCAGGCGAGAGTGAGGGAGATGGGGTCACGGAGTTTGGTGTGGGAGAGGACACAGGCTGCAGAGTTCTGGATTTTCTGCAGCCTGTGGAGGGAGGAGTTGGGAAGGCCGACAAACAGCGGTTTTCATAGTCGAGCCTGGAGGTGATGAAGGCATGAACAAGAGTTTCAGCGGCCTGAGGAGTGAGGTAGTGGCGGAGTTGGGTGATGTTATGGAGGTGAGGGAAGGCAGAGCGGGTCATGGCTTGAATGTGGGGGAGAAAAGACAGTTGAGGGTCGAACAAGACACCCGGTTCCTGACTGGCGGTGAGTTGTAGTGTGCAACCATGGGGGTTGATGTTGCCAGAGCCTGAGGTGCTGAGGCGCTGGTGTGAGCCAATCAGGAGGGCCTCAGTCTTGTTCACGTTCAACTGTAGGAAATTTGCCCTCATCCAGGACTTGATGTCCGACAGACAGTCTGTCAGGACAGCAGTGGTCCTGGAGTTGAGGGTGGAGGCAGAAAGAGTTGGGTGTTATCCGCATACATGTGGAAGTTGACCGCATGTCTGCGTCTGATGTCACCGAGGGGGAGCATGTAGACAGTATTGCAATAGTAGTGGTTGTGTGTTGTAGAACGATGGTAATAATTACGTACTGTAGAATACAATATCCTCATTCAAGTGAAAGTATTGCTAGTGAGTTTGCTGTAGCAACAGACATACCTACATACAACAACAACAACTTGGATTTATATAGCGCCCTCCACGCCGGACGGAGTCTCAGAGCGCTTGTATGGAATAGCTACATATTCTACAGAATTGTTACTAGATTGGCAATCTTACTTGACTGGGTACAAAGATGTGAAATATAGAATAATTCACACTGTGGGGTGGCGGGTGATCTTATCAAAATGGGCTGGTGCACATAGTTGAGGAGAAGACAGAGATTTTATTTTACACTTGCAGGGTATCTTTGTACATCACATATGGTATACAGCAACATGGTATACAGCTAACATGTGATATACAGCTTACATTATTGTTAGGTATAAAATAATATAGAATTAGATGTATTGAGAGGGACTTGCAGATAAAACAGGGAACTTTACTCTGCATGGAATTTGATGTATTACTGTATTATTCGTTTCCTTCTAGGTGTATTCCTGATATGCTGGTTGCCGTTTTTTATCATACATATACTGAATACCCACTGCAAGCAATGTTATATATCCCCAGAACTCTACAGTGCTTCTACCTGGCTTGGATATGTCAACAGTGCAGTCAATCCCATCATATACACCACCTTCAATACTGAGTTCAGGAGAGCTTTCCTTAGGATTTTGACCTGCCGATTGAGGCCATAATAATGCAGGATTGTGGAGTAGGAATTTAATGTGCATGTCCATTTCATCTTCCCTGAACCCCACAGGAAATGTGTTGGTATAAAAGAAGTCCATTCCATATTGTATTGGTAGAATTGTTCTCTTAAGATTTTGGTCGTGTATTTTGTCATTATCAATAAAATTGTTCCAGGTTTAATATTTTATGTCTGTTTGCTTTTTATTTAGAATAATCCTGTCAGTTTTCTGTTGAAATATTTGCCTCAAGATGTTCGTACTCTGGCAATTGTTCCCTTTCCCCTGTGCAGTACTAAACGCAGACAGCTACTTGTTTGTGCTCCATCCAGGTGCAATGCCCAGCTTGAGATCTGCTTCCTGGCATCACAACAGCTGAAATGAAGTGACAGTATGAGTCTGTGGTCCAAAAATGGAAATACTGACTGACGTTGGTGAAATATTTGACATTTGGCATTCTCTCCTTTCCCAGAGAGGCATGTGGTTGTGCCATGGTAGTGCCATGGTGATTACTGGCTTACTTCCTTTTTGTTGTCTCTCACTCTTTTTCTTTCTTTTCTCCCTCATTCTGAGTATCCTTCAGCTCTGTGTCTTTTCTTCATGAGCTCTGCGCCACTGACTTTCTAAATGTAATAATGTGCCCATACAACACATTCCAAATGTTAGGATCTGTAAAGCCATCCTTTACAGAGCCATCTTTACAGATCCTGATATTTAGAATGTGTTGCCTGGGCACATCTCCTGAAGGAAATCTCCTGAGGCCTGGCAAATTTAATGCCTGCAGTGAGAATGGACAGTGTTCAAAGCCCAGGGGAGGCTGAGATGTCTATTATGCTCAAAATCCCTCTCTGAGTTGCAGTTGCATTGAGAGGAAGAGCAAATATGTTTACAGATATAAATCAGGCAGCAGAGGTCGGAGAAAGTAATGGAAATACTATAATGACAAATTAGCTATTCAGATTGAAATCTGGTTTAGCAATAGGAAGCAGGTGGTGATGACAGAAAGGAAATACTCTATGTGAGAAGCAGTAACTGATGGAAAGTTTGTTCTGGGTCCCCTGTTTTACAGGGCTTTTTTCCTGCTTTCCCTGTTGTTCACAACCAGAAAATGTTGAGTTTTACTGGGACTCTGGCTTAACATTTCATCTGGAGAATCGCATCTCCAACAATGAAGAGCTTCCCCAGTGCAGTGTGAGAGTGGACTGCACAAAGATTTTCGGAACTACAAACCACAATGTCTTCTCTTTGCCTCAAGAGTATGACTCTTATTTTTCTACAAAATATACAATCACTACACTTCATGGTAAAACCTGTGCTTTGAGAAAGAAGTACTTTGAAACTTTGACAATGTGGTAAGACATTATATCAAATGCAAGGATTATTATTCGGTTATCTGACAACAAAACATGCATCACATGAATTATGATCATCTCTTCCCAAATAACTAGAGTAATTTGAAAACACAAATTGCAATTCATGATAATCCTGTGAGTAACAGGATGAAGTATTGCCTTTATTTATTTTAATGATATGTTTAGCATTTATTCCAAAATGTTTTGTGTAGCTTAGTCTGTTGAGTAGCAGACTAGCAGATTCTGGGTTTGAATCCTGGTGGGATTCATTCATTTCTTCACCCTTTTGCAGCCAATGAAATAAGTGGTGTCATAAAAAAAAAGTTTTCTTCCAGAAGATAAATGGAGTCGTGCACTGGCAGAGGTATTCTTGGCATTGTTATAATGTATTTCTTGAACATGAAAGTTTAGATCCTGCCCTCTGTAGCACTGGCTCTTTTTCATAATTTTTTAGTGAAGAAATAGAATTATGCAGAGTTACCTACCGTGGTACAGCATGGAAACTGGCCATTCAACCCTACTAGTCTGTGTCAGTGTTTATACTCCCCTCCCCATCTCTCCTATTCCCCTCACCTATACCCTTCTGTTGTCTTCTCCCTTATGTATCCATCAAATTTTCCCTTATACACATATCCTTTATCCCTTATACACACTGGTGCTATTTGCTTCAACCCCAGCTTCCAGTTCTATGCTCTGTTTGAAGATGTTCCTCCTAATCCCAATTAGATCTACCACTGCCTATCTTATATTTATGCCCTCTAGTTTTGAATTCACCCACAAGTGGAAACAGCCAACCAACATCCGCCTTATCAAATCCTTTCATAACCTTGAATATCTATCTAATCCCCTCTTGATCGTGTCAACTCTGGAGAGAGAAAGCTGCAGCTGTCCAATCATTCTTGATAGACAATAATAATAATAATCTTGATATAGCGCCTTATCACGTCTTCGAAACATCTCAATGCGCTTCACAGTATATACTGTAAAGTGAATTGACTGTATATTTCTGGGCGAAATGCGGCAGCCAATTGCGCACAGCAGTGTCCCACAAACAGTCGTGGATTGAAGTGACACCAATTCATTATTATACATGTGTGTTTATATAAATTTATGTATATACACATACAGTGTATATGTGTGTATGTTTAATTACATCTATTAAGCGTCAGCTGGTTTGGTTTGCCTCACAAAACACACAGTCGCTACACTTTTAGAGCATATTCTGTGTAGCATCCTGAGATGTCTCGACGACGCAACAAGGTGCCACACCAAATGGCAAAAATATTATTGTTATTATTATTATTATTACGAGTAGCAGCAAAGTAGCCTGATTTAGGTTTAGTGCTTTTTAAAATGTGTACGAAAATAATAATAATAATCCTCAATTAATGTACATTAATCAACTCTTTTTAATTAAAAAGGTCTCAGCTTATCCTTTTTCCTGACAGTGACCACTGACATACAACACTATAATCCACTAGAAAACAATTGGTCATTTACTAGTAGGCTGACTGGTCGGCTGTTTGTAGGACATCGCTGTGCACAAATTGGCTGCCTTGTTCATACAAATACAGAATCAATATACTTCTCAGTAAACCCTGTTTGAGAAGTCTCAATGACATGATAAGATACTTATCAAATACAAAATAAATATTACAAGAGGTTCATTGGCCAAGGAGCTCAATGACTGGAAATGGCTCTGAGAGAAGTTTTATATTTCATGATTTTCATGACCACTTCATTGTATTTTCTCCTGTTGAAGCTCATTTCTCCATATTGATGGATTATTGCAGAACAATCAAAGCTGTAGACCAGCATTTTGCAACCACAGTCTATCTATCTTTTCCCTTTCACAATAATAAAAGTAGCTGAAAGCAAAGATTTGGAATTAGGTTTGTCGCTTTAATAAGTTACATTGTAGTGTATGTGATTGTATTTCAAACAATTTTTCCCTCTAATGATTTTTGCAATATAACTCCAGACAACTTGCACTTATAAAATTCAGATGTTTAGTTTATTATATTTGTAATTCCCCTCTCCCAATTGGTTTTCAGAACACATTTCCTTTATATATAAATATCTTCATAATCTGTTGTATCAGTCGGGACCATAACATTTATTATGACTTTTGCAAAGTCCGAGTTGCAGACAAATTGTAGCAGTTGTAGATTTCTGTGCATGCGGAATTTAATGCAGCCGGTAAGTGCACATACGGTAATTTGTCATTGCAGGTGGTAAGTGCGCCTGCATTGATGGGTTAAGACTATATTCCTGAGATTCACCCTTCACCACATGTGCACTTACCGGCCTATATTGGAATCACGCTGATTAGGAAATGAAGTTCTGCGCATGCATCGACGGATGAACACATTATCACATAACACATTATCTTTTGAAAGAGCCGGCACAGGCACAATGGGCCAAATGGCCTCCTTCTGTGTTGTATAATTCTAGCATTCTATGAAGACCAAGTTTCCCGTCATTCAATGCAGCCGTGAAGTGTGCATGTGTCGATAGATCAGCATGTGATTTCCCGCAAATCAAGGCTTCCGATAAGCACAGAAGTAATGGAGGGTAGGGGAGCGGCATTACAAGTTAAGAGGTGATTAATATGAGTAGTGAAAAGAAATCTAAGTGGTTTTGATAGGAAACTGAATAGGACTTGGGTGAATGTATGACTAGGCGTTTATATGATTTATAAAGAAGAGACTTATGCAAGTTTTACCGTATTCAAAAAGACAAGGGAGTTTCTCTTGGTGCCTGACCAACTTCCCTCAAATGTTTGTGGGACATTGATGGGTGTAATTGGCTGCCTCATTGTGTATCATAAGGTACGGGACGTGGAGTCCTGTAGCTCAGTGGTTAGAGCACTCGCCTTGCAAGTGAGACACCTGGATTCAATACCAGGCAGGGCGAAACCTTGGACAAGTTTCCTTACTCCACACGCCTAATAATAATCCCTCCAAAACAAAACAAAAATAAATTGGTCATTTTCAATCCACAGCTATTTGTGGGACACTGCTGTGTGCAATTGGAATATTCTGTGAAGCGCTTTGAGATGTCTGGAAGACATGAAAAGCGCTATATCAAATGCAACGATTATTATTATTACATAATCACTCCACTTTGTAGTATTACTTGTGAAATGCTTTGAAACATCCTCCTGACATGAAAGATGCTATACCAAATATAAGGATTATTATTATAGAATCAATTTTCTCATCAGAATTGTTCATTATGGTAGTTAATGGTTGGCGATTAATGCTTTAATGACTTTAACTAACGCTTCATTTTAAACTGTTTAGACCAGTAGAATTACCTTTCGCCAGAATTTAGGTATCAAGTGGATATTAAAATATTTCTTATCAATTTTATGTATTAACACATGATTCTGTTAAGAAACAATGCAATTTTCACCCCTCTGTTATAGTAAGAGGATATAGTTGTAGAGATCAATTGTTGAGTAATTTCAGAACAGGCACCAGTCACTCAGAGGATAATTTCCCACTGGAACAGTTTTCTAGAAAGGGTGGTTCAGGCCAGGACACTGGAACCATTAAGAAAAAAACAGCTTGATGCTGTGATTGAAGAATGGAAATTCTAGAAATCCGAGATCAAATAGGCTGAAGGCACTTCTTCATCAAAACTAAACTCGTGACACTTGTTAATCTTTCAGGGAAAACGTCTTTAGATGTCAATCACAGAAAGTGTATTGGCTGTCATTATTTGCCACAATATCTGTAGCAGAAAAAAGCTCTAAAGATTAAAAAAAATTGTATGGTGACAAAATAGCAACCTCATGTTGTGGAGCAGATGAGGGTTATAAACCA